CCCACCCAGCTTCTGTTCAGTTTGTTGGCAGGTGACCTCCTGGATGCAGGTAGTGTATCTATAATGTCCACTCCGGCTTCTTCCTTGTGAGGGCCTAAAAACAGACCTGGGGGGAAAGTGACTTTCTCAAGGCCTGCAAGTTCTATGCCATCACTGATCTCCAAGTGGGGTGGGGAGTATTAGAGATATTTAAAGGGGAAAGTTGCCATCACACACACCTGACAGAGGAGGAGATGGCAGGCAAAAGACTCATCTGTTGGGGCAGGCCATCTACTGTTCCCACCTCTCTCCCACAGCCATGCCAAGATGTACCGCCCGAGTCTGCTTGAGACCAGATGGGAGAGAACATCTACAAGCTCTACAAGCTCTACATGCACACACTCTTAAAGCTGTGGGACAGGGAGAGCTCAGGCTGGAAGGTTCTTCTCTGTGACCTCTGTCCTTCCTGGGAGCTCAAAGGCAAGGGTCAAAGATCCTCTGGGTCATGCTTAGGGTGGCCTGGTGTGTTGGTCATCTTCTCCTCCTCCTCTTCCTCCTCCTCCGCTGCCTCCTCCTCCCCATCTTGCTCCTCCTCTTCTGTCTTTTGTCGCCCATCAGTGATCTCCTTCCCAGTCCAAGTTTCCTGTAGACAGGCTGGGCGAGGGTAGTAGAAAACAAATATTGGTCCTGAGGTTAAGGAGTTTGTAACTGGCAGGAAAGGGGCCGACCCATACACTTACCAGTTTCAGCAGTTGAGAGCACATGACCTTCACATAGAAAATGCTGTAGGGACTTTTCCTGATGATGGAAGTACCAGTCTCCTATGACATCTTCAAACTCCTCCAGCATGGTCTCACACTGGTCAAATGGAAGGGTCAAGAGTTTCTGCTCTACTGCGCTTTAGTAACCCTCAGATCTACTCTTCATGTCTCTGCTACCCCACCTTACTGACCTTGGAGAGGCAGGTAACTGGGAGGTTAAACTTGACTTACTAGACTTGTGAGCCTTATTCATTCAGCAAACACTTAACTGGCACCTATCCTACTGAGTTGGCTATTCTTTGAGTCTCAGCTCCTTGTCTGTAAAGTGGAAGGGGCAATAGTCCCTATTAACTCAGCCAGAGTAATATGAAGCAGCATCTATAAAGTATATGGCCCTGAATCTGGCACACAGTAGGTTCTCAAATAAGTGATATTTGTTCTCATCATCTCTTGATAGTTCCTGGGCCCACTTCAATCACTGGCGGCATTCTCACTCTGCTCTCTTGTCCCTACTCAGAGGTGGACTTCTGAGCTTCCCTTCTCATCTCCCTGGGTTCAATATCCCATCCTACCTGCTTCTTGAGGAATGTCACTTCCACGCTCGGTTCGTCCCACAGCTCCAGAGGAATCCCCAAATCCACCTTTACCCCTTTCTGCACCAGGCCTCTCAGCGTTGTCATGGTCTGACTCTGGCCCTGAGAAATGGGAATTTGGGATCAGCCCAACTCACTGACCTGCCTTTTCCTTTCCCTTTCCACCATGGCAACTTTGTCAACTCCTGCAGACTCAGGGGTGAATACCATGAGGGTAAGGTGATGGAATCTAGTGCTGGGGAGGACACTCCACAGCTGGGGAAACTGGCCCAAGGGACACAGGTTGTTATTTCTGAGAAGTAGGGTCCTGCCTTGGGAAGACTCTGACCTTGGCATATCTTAATGAACCCTTGCGCTCAGCATGAACGCTGTAATCCAGGATCCGCTCACACAAATTCTCTAAGGCCTCTTCCAGCCTTGTCTCTCTGTGGGGAGAGAGGAAACAAAGACTCTCTGGATGCTGCAGAAGCTGCCACGGCTCCTTCAGGGGTCAGAACATTGGAGGAACACCAAGAAAGACTCACGAAACGCTATATGGGACATGTCTCTTCCTCTTGCCTGTGTCCAGCACCTGCCCCAGCTCTAGCACCTCTCGAGATCGGCCAGTTCGACTCAGCTCTTCCTGCAGCTCCAGGCTCAGCAGCTTACACACTAGATGTCCAAGGGGACGTAAAGACAGACAAACATACCAGCAACTCATTCTGCAGATGAGCAAAGGCAGCAGCGCGTGATGCTTACAAGTACAGGCTGGAGCCAGACTGACTGGACTGGGATCCTGACTCAGCCACCTAACAGCTGTGTGATCAGCATGCTATACCTTGGTCTCTTCACCTCTATAAGTAAATAATAACAGTATGTCTCTTACAAGGGTGTGATGGGGATAAGAGGCATGAATCGGTATTAAATCCCTAATATAATGCCTGTGAGAGTACTGTGTTTGTTGTTCATAGTGAGCACATTCTGTCTACACAATAGCAATACAGAAGGCAATAAGAACCACAATCCCTATTCATAGGGTGTTAAAATGTAGTTGGGGATGGATAGACAGTATGGTATGATGGACAGCACCAGGGGTTAAGAATGCAAAATTCGGCCCTCTCTGGTGGCGCAGCAGGTTAAAGCACAGCACTAAGAAACTTAAGCCACTTCAGCATGAGTTCGATCCCCGCCTGCCACAGAGGTGACCACATGGCGCGGCAGACCTCTCCTGACCCGCCTGCTGCTCCCCTCAGCAGTGTACTTCATCGTCAATCTGCCTGTCCTGCTCCCCATTCTGTCTCTGATGAATCCGTTCACCCTCCGCATCTCTGGCCTGTACCCCAGTTCTATATGAATAAATAAATCTTTAAAAAAAAAAAAAGAATGCAAAATTCATTGACTTCTGACTAGCCTGTGATTTCCACCAGTCTTTCCATCACTTAGCTCATGACCTGGTATGTGGTGGATCCCAAGAAGGGGAATGGCCTGTATAGATGAGCCAATCAAAGTAAACACTGGGGCAAGTAACAAATGTGCCAGGCACTGTGCTAGGACCTGAGATACGCAGGTACTCTCCTTCCTACCAGGGGTTACAACATAGTGGGAGGTGACAGAAAAAGAAGATTTCCAAAGAAGGTGGTGTTTAAACTGGGTCTTGAAGAACCTAATACAGGAGGGAGATGGTCATTCAGGCAAGGGGAGAAACAACATGCAGAGGCACAGAGGATCAGGCAGGCTCAATGATCAGTGAAAATTCAGTGTGGCTGAAGTATGGGCACTTTGGGAATGGGAGCTGGGGTATGGAAAAGAAAGAAAGGCTGGGGCCACAAGAGTAGCCACAACAAAGAGACATATGTATGCTTTCCCCCAGAAAAGTTGGCTCGATTCTGATCACAGCAAGAGGCCTGCAGAGGACCAGTTCTGTGTTTAGAAAAACTGACAGGTGAGGGTAGAAGAAAGGGAACACGAGTGAGAGGAGAGGCGAAATTAGTCGTGAGGAATGCCGAAATTCAGTGTGGAGTTAAGGAACAGAAGAAAGTGAGTCAGGAAGGCAACAAACTAGGGAAGCAGGGGACACAGCCCAACTCTGAGCCCTTCCCAGCTCGGCCCCACACACAACGCAGCTAAAGATGCGATGCTGTTCGCTGTAAATTCCATAGCGTTCACACCCTCGGCAAAACCTCACCCTGATGGGGAACCTCTGCCAGTTGTGTGGCCTCTTTCATTTACGAGCTTCAAGGGTTGATTTCTCACCTCCCCCAAACTCCTCGGGAAGACGTGCGACCTGTAATTTGGGAGCGTCTCTGCTAGGGTGGGGTAGAGGATGTCCACAGGTAAGAGCCTCACACCCCACCCCTGCAGGCTCTCCGGATTAGGTCTGGTGGCTTGGGGGAAGCAAACACACACACGCACACACAGAGCTCGGTAGAGTTGGCCGTCCAGGGCAAATGGCCTCTCAACTAGTTACCACAACCCACGGGGGCCCCAAAGCAGCAAAGAAAAGCGGGCGCCCTCTGAAAGTCTCCTGGGAATTGTAGTGCCATAGTTTGACGGTCGCACTATGCGTTCCCACCCTCGACCCCGTTCATCAAACTATCGAATTCTGCCAAGCTCCACCAGAGCCTCCGTCAGAGACCCAGCGACCACCCATCAAGTGGGTCCAGCCTAGAGGAGGTGGGGCAGAGGGATGCGACTAGGAGGCTCCTCCCTTCTGATACCTTCGCATTTGCTGGGCAAACGTTCCGTGTCATCCTCCTCCTTCGGCGTCCCAGCCCAGGAACCGTACACCGCCAAAATAAAAAGCAACGTTCCCAACCGCACAGGTCCCATCACAAAATGCTGTCCGACCCTGGCCTTCACTCAGGGAACACAGCGGCCCCTTTAAATTTCGAGGCGCTCGGCGGCAACTTTAATCCGGAGTGGCAGGGCGGCGCACGCGCAGTGCCGATCCCAAAGTGGGTGGGGCCTCGCTGCGCTGCCGGCTTCCCCGCCTAGGTGTTGTGGCGCCTCCAGAAAGTCCTGGCCGCGGGGTAAAGAAGGAGTAAATCTAAGTGATAATAAGAGCAGCCTGTGCTCCTCAAACGTAGACACAAAAACAGTGATTTTTTAAATCATTCCAGGCTGTGGGACTGAAGGACTTACGCCTATTCGGGGAAGTGTGAGGACTGGCTCTCCGCCTCTGCCAGGACCTATTCCCTGGAGGGGGCGGGGCCAACATGGCGCCGAGCGCCGGGTGAGCGGCGCCTTGGCGGCGGTGAGAGACTTTTCCTGCGCGGGGCTCTCGGCTGGCGGGGGTGGGTTTGAGTGATAACCCAGACTGGACCCTCTGAATGGCCCGTGGGGGACCAAGAAGAAGACGGTTGGTTGTGTGTCCGTGCGCGTGGGAACTCCGTGTGTGTATGTTTGCTTTAGAGAGATGTTCGGGGAATGATTTGGGCTTTCTGCGCCTTCTTTCGCGAGGTACCCGTTTCCTGGGACCTTCGACCCGCTTCCTTGTTTGGGAGACGACTACACATCTAGCTGAACTTGCCTTTCTGTGAAGACTTCCTGACGGCCCCACTGATCTAAGGGGCTAGTAGCTTGTTTTATGAGGCTTTACTCGTAGGCAAGGATGCCTCAGGGTATTGTAGGAGTTCGCCCGGGAAGTGGGACATGGATACCTAGCCCCTTGCACTGAGTATGTGTTAAATAAATGTGTTCCCTGAAGATAAGACGTTTTAGACTAGGGGCGGAGACTTGACATGGTTTGAGAAGAACCAAATTCTTCCACACCTCCAGTTCGCCCCCATTTGGGCCTTCCTACATCCCACAGTTGGACCTAAATAGTTGACGTTCATCTTCCTAATGTCAATGTCAGGCAAGCCAGCTTTTTCTGCCCGCAGAGTAGATCCCAGAGTAGATCGGTATCTGTTCCTCTTGATAATAGTGATAATGGCCATGATACTGAACATCTCCAACCCTTGGGATTCATTCATTTATTCCAACAACTATTTATTGAGTGTAATATTTCAGGCGTCAGCAAAGATCTCAGTCCACATGACATGTAAGGAGTAAAAGAAATCAAGAAATAAGGTAGGAAATCTAAGAGGAGGTGGTGTGGAAGTGAAGAAGGAAGAAATCAGGTGTCCCATATCCAGCTAGAGGTCAAGTAAGTTGAGGACCAAGCGTGGACCTTGGATTTGGCATCGGTGGAGTCATCGGTGACCTTGATGAGCCGCTTCAGGGACCCACTGTGGTCAAAGCTGAAGAATAAGTTCAGAACAGAAGGAGAGGAATTTGAGACTTAACACAACTCTGAGGGAGTTTTGTTGCTAAGAGTAAAGGAAAAATGAGGCATAACCTGTCGAGAAAGTGAAATGAAGAAAGATTTTAAACATTTTCATAAATTGTGAAGTACAGAAAATAAAACTTACCATCATAAGTAACTTTTTAAGCCTACAGTCCAATAATGTTTAAGAACATTCACTTTGTTGCGCAGCCGTTGTAAGTCACCATCCACCTCCAGAACTTGGTTTATTGTTGCAGAACTGAAAATCTGATTGTTAAACAATGACTCCTCTTTCCTCCTGCCCCCCATCAGCCACCATTCTACTTGCTGATGCTGTGAATACTGACCACTCTGGTGGAACCATACAGTATAGGTCATTTGTTGCCTGACTTACTTTATTTGGCACAATGTGTCTGGCATCATCCATGTTGTATGTGGCCTATGTCAGAGTCCCTTGTTAAAGCTATATATTCCCTCATGTTTATATATCACTGTTTGGCTTTTTTTTTTTTTTTTTGAAGATGGGAAAAAGTAAGTTGCAGGGAGATGGGAGAATATTGGAGGAATTAAGGCTTGAGTTGGCCAGTAATGAGGGGATGGTTGAGTATATGGTATAGGTACAGTTTGGCTGTTGGTGGGAATCTGGAACTCTTTTCAGATGGCCAAAGTGAAGGAGGAGAAAAGGTGTTAGGACAGAGGGAGAGAGAGCATGGAGAGGTAGTGTGATTATCTGGTTGCAGTAAGGGCCCACTTGAAGTCTGTGGGCATGAATTTAAAGTGGGGATTGTGTTTTTCTCATTGGCTTCAATTTTGTGGCCAAACAGATGGTTAGGAGAGTTAAATTTAACCAACATTGTCTTTTTGTCAAGTGTGAATGATTCAAGAAGGGAGAAGAGAGAGAAAGGTATGTGCAAAACAAGAATTAAAAAAAAAAAAGTTTTCTATACAGGAAGAAACCAAGGCCAGGAGGAATTAAGGACCTTGCCCAAGTAGCACAGCCAGGGCTGGGATTGAAATTGAAGACTGTGTTCATTCTACTCTACCTCATGGTGCAGGGGCTGGCACAGGATCAGGGCTCAGTCAATGCTGTGGAAGTGGCTCAACTGCAGCATTTTGTTACCTTGGTGCTGACGCACTTGGGGATGGATGGAAGACACTTCCCCAAGTTCCTTCCTCCTCTTCACATCCCTCAGGAGGGAGAGCCCCTCTTCTTTGTGGCTCATGTTTCTTTCTCTTCTTCCCACCCCATCTCCCCTGCAGGGTCTCCATCTCTCTATCCTGGGGCATCATTCTTCAGGGGAAGGAAGGAGCTGCAGAATGGCTGAGGAGAAGAAGTTGAAACTCAGTAATACTGTGCTGCCCTCCGAGTCGATGAAGGTGGTGGCTGAGTCAATGGGCATCGCCCAGATTCAGGAAGACACCTGCCAGCTGCTGACAGATGAGGTCAGCTACCGCATCAAGGAGATTGCACAGGTAACTTGGCCCCTCTGTCCAGCCCTGCGCTGTTCCGAGGATGCTGCCCTGGCCGCCTTCTTCCTCAGGGTCTCCGGCTGACTTCTGTCCTCCCACCCCAGGATGCCTTGAAGTTCATGCACATGGGGAAGCGGCAGAAGCTCACTACCAGTGACATTGACTACGCGCTAAAGCTTAAGAATGTTGAGGTGATGAGGACGCACAGCACTGAGACGGGGGTCCTCCCAGATGCTGCATTTGCCTTCAGCCATACATCAGGGGCCTCCCTTCTCATCCCAGTGTCTCTCTCTCCTGATATAGCCGCTCTATGGCTTCCACGCTCAGGAGTTCATACCTTTCCGTTTCGCCTCTGGTGGGGGCCGGGAACTTTACTTCTACGAGGAGAAGGAGGTTGATCTGAGCGACATCATCAATACCCCTCTTCCCAGGGTGCCCCTGGACGTCTGCCTTAAAGGTTGGGGGAGGGGAGAGCAGGGTGGCGGGGAGGAGGGAGAGGAGGAGCATTGCATATGGGTTGGAGGAAGAAATCCTCAGTATGAGACCCCCGGTGAGTTGTTGGAAGTGGGGATAGAAATGAAACACATTCCTTAGTGTGGAGTGACTCTGTAGTGTTCATAGGCAGCCACTCGACTTGGTATTTTCCTTCCTCACAGCTCACTGGTTGAGCATTGAAGGCTGCCAGCCAGCTATACCCGAGAACCCACCCCCAGGTAACCTGCTCCATGCCCTGAACACACCCCTTACTCTTCCTTACTTCTCTAAATCTCCTGCCACTCTCCTTACCCCTGTGCGACTCCTTTCCCATCAGCTCCCAAAGAGCAGCAGAAAGCTGAAGCCACAGAGCCCCTGAAGTCAGCAAAGCCAGGCCAGGAAGAAGATGGACCCTTGAAAGGCAAAGGTCAAGGGGCTGCTCCAGCTGATGGCAAAGGTCAGTACTGCTAGGCCAGGGCTCTCCTGGCTCTTGCCTCAAAGCCAGGTGATCATTTGTGAAGTGGGATAACCAGGGCATGGGGTAGGGCATCAAGGCAGAAAGGCCCGGAAAGAACCAAGAAATCTGCAAGTTGTTGCATCTCCCTGGCGGGGTAGGAGAAGAGGGTCAGAGTGTGGCACTAAGGCCTTCACTAGAGCTTTTTCAAACCCATCTTCCCAATTCCCATAGGGAAAGAGAAGAAGGCACCACCCCTCCTGGAGGGGGCCCCTTTGCGACTGAAGCCTCGAAGTATCCATGAATTGTCAGTGGAGCAGCAGCTGTACTACAAGGAGATCACTGAAGCCTGTGTTGGCTCTTGTGAAGCCAAGAGAGCGGTGAGGTCCCACCTCCTGCCTTTACCCAGAGATTCCTTCTCTTGGAGACCCCATGAACCTCTTCTACCCTGTCTGCTACGTCACTGGCTCCTCTCCCCCAGGAAGCCCTGCAGAGCATTGCAACGGACCCTGGGCTCTATCAGATGCTGCCACGATTCAGCACCTTCATCTCTGAGGGGGTGAGAGGATTCAGGAAGGCCAGGGAGTTGGGGGTGGTGAGGTGGTGGCATGGGAGGGGTAGTCTTAGGGATCTCATGGCCTGTCATTTCTCCCACCCCTAGGTCCGTGTGAACGTGGTGCAAAATAATCTGGCCCTGCTTATCTACCTGATGCGCATGGTGAAGGCACTGATGGATAATCCTACGCTGTATCTAGAAAAATATGTGAGTGACCTGCGCTCAACCCAGGTTCAGCCTACAGGAAGCCATTTGTCAGAATTAACCTGACCCACTGCTTCTTCCTTAGGTGCATGAATTGATTCCAGCTGTTATGACCTGCATTGTGAGCAGACAGCTGTGCCTGCGGCCAGATGTAGACAATCACTGGGCACTCCGGGACTTTGCTGCCCGCTTGGTGGCCCAGATCTGCAAGCATTTTAGTACAACCACTAACAACATCCAGTCCCGGATCACCAAGACCTTCACCAAGGTGAGCAGTGTGGAGGAGAAATGTTCTACACTCCTACTCACCAGAACAAATTCCTTACATCTCCTGAGGGCTTCACCCATACCAGCTGTGGGTCAGTTGTGGCTGTACGAAATAATGATGAGAACGAGGGGAGGTGGGCAGGGGGACTGGGGCCGGAACTTGAACTGCATCTGTAACGTCTTCATGACTTACAAAGAGTGCGTGTATTCAGAAACCTGGGTCTCTACCAGTTGGCCTTTCGGGCCCCCTGACCGGGCTTTCTTTCCTTCCCCCTACAGAGCTGGGTGGATGAAAAGACTCCATGGACGACACGTTATGGCTCCATCGCAGGCCTGGCAGAGCTGGGACATGACGTTAGAGCCCTGGGAAACACTGGGGGAGGGGGAGCAGCCTGAAGTTGGACGGCAACACTCCCCCATCCAGGAGACTGTGTAGTGACCCCAGGTCCCGGCTTCTCCCCTTTTTTCCCATAGGTAATTAAGACTCTGATCCTACCACGGCTGCAGCAGGAGGGGGAGCGGATCCGCAGTGTCCTGGACGGCCCAGTGCTGAGCAACATTGACCGCATAGGAGCTGACCACGTGCAGAGCCTCCTCCTGGTGACCCAAGCTCCCTCCTCTGCCTTCTTCCCACTCTCCCCAAACACCCCTTCCTCCCCTCAACACACAGGAACAGTGTTTAGCAAGCACATCATGTCTTTTATTCACGTGTCACCTTTGTTTCACACATTCAAAACACACTTCACACCACCTGTTTCACAAAGACTGAGACAGATGGGTTAGTTAATAAGAGGACTTAACTCCCTACCCATGACTTCTAGACTCACTGTCCCCAATGTTGGATCACGGTGCCCCATCCTGTCAAGACAGCCACCAGCGGGACCAGCTGCCCCTTTGGTATTAGTAGTGCACCCAAAGGCTCCCCACATACAGTCAGCACCTAGGTTTTCTAATGAAGAAAAACCACCATGTTCCTCATACCCCACTGTGGGTCATATTGAAACACAGGCTAGCCTGGCAGTCTGTTCTGCCCCTTCCCCATCACACTTCTGGGACCCAGCTTGTCCTCTAACTGGCTCTTCTCTGCCTTCTCTGCAGAAGCACTGTGCCCCCGTTTTAGCAAAGCTTCGCCCACCACCTGACAATCAGGATGCCTATCGGGCAGAATTTGGGTCTCTTGGGCCCCTCCTCTGCTCCCATGTGGTCAAAGCCCGAGCCCAGGCTGCTCTGCAGGCTCAGCAAGTCAACAGGACCACACTGACCATCACTCAGGTCAGCAACATTTCGGGAGGGGGGGGTGAGATGAAGAACTGTGAGGGGTGGGGCGGGGCCTCATGCTCCTAGGTGGCACCCACAGACCTGCACACATGCACGGCCTTCTAGGCCAGCAGTCCAGGGTTATCTAACCCCTTAGTGAAGATGCTGCAACCCCTGAGACCTGCTGAGGAGGGGCAGGAGGAGGCCCTCTTTTTTTACTACATGTTGACATTTTTTCCTTGCCTCGCCTTCCCGCAGCCACGGCCCACACTGACCCTCTCGCAGGCCCCTCAGCCCGGCCCTCGGACCCCTGGCTTGTTGAAGGTCCCTGGCTCTATCACACTGCCCGTCCAGACACTGGTGTCTACACGAGCTTCTGCCCCACCTCAGCCTTCCCCTCCTCCGACCAAGTTCATTGTAATGTCCTCCTCTAGTGCCTCGTCCACGCAGCAGGTAAGTGGAGCTGTAGCCTGAGGGGCAGAGGTTCCCTCAGAGCAGGTGTGTTGGGTGCACGTGCATGAATGCCCATGAATGCCGAGTAAGCCTAGTCACCACCTGGGGCTGGAAGGGGCACTTCCCAGGGGCCACGAAGGCCGGGCTGCTCATCCTCAGCCAGGCTCTGCAGCTCCTGAGGAAGGCTAGACTCCATGTTCAGGGGGAGCCTGGGGAGGATGCAGGGCAGCTGGCACTGCTTTTCCTTTCTTCACCAGGTCCTGTCCCTCAGCACCTCGGCCCCCGGTTCAGGCTCCACCACCACCTCCCCTGTCACCACCACAGTCCCTAGCGTGCAGCCCATCGTCAAGCTGGTCTCCACCGCCACAACCGCACCCCCGAGCACTGCTCCCTCTGGCCCGGGTAGTGTCCAGAAGTACATTGTGGTCTCTCTCCCCACCACTGGAGAGGGCAAAGGCGGCTCCACCTCCCATCCTTCTCCAGCCCCTCCCCAGTCCTCAGCACCTTCCCCTCTTGGAGGCAGTACCCTTTGTGGGGGGAAACTAGACACTGGGGATAGCTCGCCTCCAGCTCCAGGGACTCCGAAAGCAAATGGTTCCCAGCCTCCTGGACCTGGCTCCCCTCAGCCTGCACCTTGATGCTGTCACACATGTCGATTTTCTCTGCTAGTGTGTGTCTCTCATACACACGTGTGCTGGATGGATGGAAGTAGTGATCTGCTTCCCTCACGTCACTTTCTTTTTAGATATTGTACAGCAAGTTCTCAGAATAAAAGTTTGATTTGTAAATTCTCATCTACCTTGGTCCTTCCTGTGTCCGGTATCGCAGGAGAGTTGAACTGTGGAGCCCTCCTGAGCCCTAGGACTCAGGACTCTTCCAGCAGATAGAGCCAGTACCAAAACACTGGAAATGATATCACTGTGTCCTTGTTTTGAAAGCCTCAGATCCGAATGACATAAGCATCGCTGTGGCTTAGGTGTCGCACCCATTTGTGAGGGTTGGCATTGCCACAGGGTCTGAAGGAAAGCCTGAGGAAGCGCACCTGGAGGCCAGAGCATGTATGTCGCGGAAGTTCAAAGGAGAGGCTCGCAGGGCCCAGCCCCAGAGGAGAAGTGGAAGTGGAATGCCCTTGGCCAGGAGGCCCAGGAGGGCCTGGGACATCCATCTGTGAGGAACAGAGGAGGGGGGAGGCACTGAAGGCATGAGAACATAGTGGGCAGGGAGGCCAGAGACCAGGAAGCTGACCATGCTGGGGTTTAGCAAGTACATTAGGAAGAATGCACTTAGTCAGGGGCTGGAGATGGCGGTAGGAGACCCACCAGCAAGTACCTGGAAAAGGCCGGAGAGCTGAGAGCCTCCCTGCACCCGGGGCAGGTCCCAGCGAAGGGCGCCCTCCCCCAGCTCTGCCTTCTGCTCTGGACTGCTCAGCTCCTGAGACAGGCTGGAATTTGAAGAGGAAAAGTGCTGAACTCAGACCCTGCCTTCCTCAAGGACAGGCTGGTTCCACCATGGTTCCCTCTCCTGCCCAGTGCCACCCTGTTGCCCAGGGAGCTGTGAAGCCACTGGAGTCCCACACTGCACACACTCACCTGACCACCCCTCTTGGCAGGGGAAGGTGCAGCCTGACATTGAGAGCCTGACTGCAAAGAAAGGCACAGTCAGTACAGCAAGGTGGCGAATTGTCTCCATCTTTGTGTCACACTGGAATTACCCCACTCCTGCCCGAAGTCTAGCGTTCTAATTAAATTGGATTCCAAGGCTGGTGGACGGTAGAGGCAGCAGGTGTCTTGGCTCTATGTCTGTCCCACACGGCTGAACTCAGCTATCCCCACTCTTACCTTTTTGGGGGCAGGTCACATCGTAACTTCAGATAAATCTGGAGCCTAGAGGAAGATCAAATACGGTCTCAAGCCAGATCCTATAGGTGTTTCACCATTTCCCACCCAGGCCTCCATACACCGCTACGTAGGTTGTGCCCCAAAGAAGCAAGAGCAAAAGCAGGACTGAGATTTGGCCCAACTCCACTAGCCTCCCCTTGGGTTCCTGGGGCTAGTTCACTGTAGGTGAGGGGGTTCCTTTCCTAATTAGTAAACTTATTACCACTACTACCACCATTCCTTCTACAATAGTGGCTTAGATTCCAGAAAAATCCTAGAACAGAAAGTAGGTCCTCACCTGCCTGAGCCTCGGTCCCACTGCACCGAGGGAAAGAGCCGGAAAGGGAGCGGGGAAGGAAGGTCATCTGAGAGTTGGTACCGCATCACAGTGAGCTGAAACCAGAGGGGAACGGACGTCAGTGTGTTCTCTCATGTGGAATGCCAGACCCCATGGAGAATGAACATGCTAGGACTCTGATTCTGACCTCCCCCTGAGGAGGCTGCAAGCGGAGAATTCGATGAGATTCAAACTCCTCCAAATGCACTGAGCTGTGAAATGAGACCTCATCCACCCGAATTCCTGGCCCATAACCTGGGAAGAAAAAATTCGAATCCACATTTGGGAGAGAAAGGCTTAGGTCTAACTTCTCTCCATGAAACCTTAAGAGAATGGCCACATAGAGAAATACCACTCCTCACCTCTCAGTTCTGACTTCCCCACACAAAATTCTTCTGTTAAACCAATGCGCATCTCTGCCAGAAGAAAAAGCATGAGAAAAGCCCACCAAACACTACCTGGGGCCTGTCCCAACCCCATGCTGCAGACAAGCCTGCAGACTTCTCACCAGAGCCACTGGGAAGATAGCTCTTGAGTCGGAGCTCTCCCTGCACGTCCACCTTCAGCAGTGAGCCCTGGGAGTGTAGAGAAGTTCATGTCCAAAAGTTACCTCCCCAACCATGTTCCCCAAGTACCAACTGTCCTCAGCCCCAGGGCTGGGGGCCCAGACTTACATTAGATGCTATCAGTACAGACAGCCTCTCGACTACATCCAAAAACACTTCGTTCTTTTGGCTCTGAGAAAGAGAAGGGATTGGGGAGGCTGAAGGCAGAACGGCCTATGTTCTAAAGGGGCAGGCAGAAAGGACAGGGCAGTTGAGGTTCTTTAAGGCTGCAAGATTGGGGCACAGGTGGAGAAGGAACGCTCATGTCTAGGAGAGGTGGAAAGATACTATAAGATCTTAGATCTTGGGGTTCCAGAAAAAAGTAGAGGAGCTGACCCCTATCCATCCTCCCTTACCTGGTCAGAGCGGCTGGACAGGACAGGGCGGCCTGCCGCACTACTGGGCGCCACTTTGCTCTGTTGTGTCTCAGCCCCAAACTGGAAAGCACCCAAAGTAACCCATCATTAGGTTTGATGCCCTCTGCCAATCCTCCCCACCTCCCTGCTCCTAGTCTTCCTCTTTCCCTTCCACTGACCAAGCCAACACTGCTGAGGTCAAAGAGGCTGAAGGGCTTGCTGACCACAGCTTCTGTCTGGATGAAGTTTCTCAGAATCTCTGTGGACGTGGTCTGTACGTAGCCATAGTCCTGTGGGCAAAGGAAGGATTGTCTGCAGCTGGTCAGTGGAGGGGAGGGGTGAAAGCAGAGGTTAACTCTCAGCTATCGGGTTCATCTTCTGTAAGAAGGGACAATGAAAACTCCCTTGGTCCCTACCAGCACTTCATCGAGGAGTTCATAGACAAGAGCCACGTTGCGTGAGATGGTCCCCTCACCCAGGGAGCCGCAGTAGTCACCCAGGAGAGTGGCCAGTCTGAGGAAATGGAACAAATGTGTAGATCCTCCTCCTCCTCCCACACCCCTTTGCCCAAGTGCCCAGCCCAGCCCTCCTCACCGGGAGAGCAGCTCTAGGAGGCTGAAGGGAGAAACATTTTCACAAGTCGTGGCCACCAAATAGAGGCCGCTGTGCCTGATATGAATAAAATGACGGTCATCGTGGTGCTGGGGCAAGAGGAGAAAAAGCATTAGGAAAAGAATTTAGTGATTAAGGCCCCATGAGACTTTTACTCAGATCTTCCTTACTAGAAGAGTGCTCTGGGTGACAAAAGGACACTTCTTCGGGGCCCAGTTTCCCAAGGAGCAAGTGTAGCTACAGCACCTACCCACAAATCTCGAGGATTGAAACCTCGAGGGGCTCAAGAGTTGTGCCTGGTGCTTGGGTAGCGCTCAGGAAACTTTCCTTGACGGGTGGAGGAAAGTCCCCTCCAAAGGGATGCAGTCAGGGAAAGGAAGCGCTCCCCCCCACGCCCAGCTTGCAGGCGCGCCCCCCTCCCACGCTAGTGGTTACCATGACAACTGGAGACTCGTCTCCGGGCAGTCCCATCAGCTTCCGGTAGAAGAGCTCGGCCACATCCCGGCCACCACTGTCCCCGCGGACTGACGGGGTGCAAGGAGAGCTAAGGAACTGGCCACACAGCCTGGCTCTGGAATACTAGTCCCACCCGGCCTCGCTGGTGAAGGATACAGTCCTTGTAGATGAGCGGGTCCCCCTTGTAGGAGAGAATGAAAAACTGGGAAATCATGGCTGTTCAGGAGAGTAGACAAGGAGACTGCGAAAGTTGGGCCTGCCCCGCCTTGCGGCCCCGGAACAAAAGGACGCGCGTGGGCTGGCCCTTTAAGAGCTATTCGCCTCCGCCCGCGAGAGCGCGGACCGCGGGAAACCGGCGCCCGCCCCGCCTCGCCCAGCCGCCCTCCCGTCACTCAGCCCAGGCTCGCCCGACGATTGATCAAGGTCCCGGCCAGCCGCGAGCGGGCGGGGCGGAGGGCCTCCTGCCCGATTGGCCCGCACGCTGCGTCGCCGGTCACGTGGGGCGCGACGTTTCGCGCCAATTTCGGTTGGTCGGCCGCCGTACCCCGCGCGGACGCTCTTACTGCCCTGGGACCCGCCGGCCTGAGCCAGCCAACTGCTGCCGCGCGGCCCTCGGTAGCGATGGCCCTTAAGGACTATGCGCTCGAGAAAGGTGAGGGTCTGCAGCCCCGAGAGGGGTTCCTGCGCAGGAAGCCTCCCAGCTACCACCTGTTGATGTGAGCTGGAGTCGTGGGGGCCAGAGCCGGCTGGGCTCTGGGGGGAGGGGGGGCGCGAGGCCAGAAGCGGGGACGAGGATGTGAGGCGGCGGGGCTGAGGCAGACAGTGCCTGGGCAGGTGCACGAGTCGTCGAGGTCGGCGATCTCGTTCTCGTGCGGGGAGGGACTGGTGACCGTGGTGGGAGGTGGACAGCCGTGGTGGGGACTCCAGAAGGGAGAGTAGTGCCCGGGAGATACCTGGGCTTCAGGGGGCGCCGCGTGAGGGCTCCTCGGCCTTAGGGAGGATACCCAGGAGTCGGCTCCCGGCTCCCCTCTCCGGCACTCAGCGCTCGCGTCCCTGGGAGACGCGCCGAAGCCCTGGGGGCGGGCCCACTCGGGCCGCTGCGCGCCGGCATTGGCCGTTTTAGGCCAACCTCCAAGCGGAAGTGAAGGCTGGCGGAAGTTGCGCGGTGCCGCTGGAGGGAGTGTCGTGTGTAAACAGTGTCCTTCCGCGCTGTGGCCTCCGAGAGAGCTACTTAGGTTGGGGGCGTGCCTGGGATGGGGCGGTTTAGCGGGAACCCGCGAAAGGCAGTAGTGGGCTGGGACGGAGTCGCCCTGGACGAGCCGGCCAATCGCGGGTTGGGCTCCCGCCTTGGGCGGAGGAATCCCGGGCTGTGAGGCGGCAGCATCTGGGCCCATGTGCTTCTTTGTTTACTAAGAGCGGAAGCAGTGGCGGGAGAGGGGGTGGGGTGGAGGACTGGCCTTGTGGCAGCGATCCCAGTGAGGGCAGAGATTTGGGGGTCCAAAAGAAAAGGGGAACTCTTACGCGTGGGAAGAAGATGGAGACTGGACGCACTCGTGTTGCGGGGTGTGTGGGAGGCACCTGGGAAAGAGTACTGGGGATTTTAACTAAGGCAAAGACTGGAAATCCCCCGGGGGGAGGGTAATACTCTTAACTGAGGGGGCCCTTCATTCGTCCCTAGATGAAAGCTGACTCGCAAAATGGAGCTATGTGCCGTTTGGGGAGACCTACTTAAAATTAGTTCATAGGTTTTTCTTTTAAGTGAAAGTGGGTTTCTTAGATTTCCATCAGAGGGGTTTGCAGTGAGGTCTCTGAAAGATTGATCCTCGTGATTTTACCTTTCCCTCATAGAAAAGGTGAAGAAGTTCTTACAAGAGTTTTACCAGGATGAGGAATTTGGCAAGAAGCAGTTCAAATATGGAAACCAGTTGGTAAGTCATAAGTTTAAGTAGAGGGCAGAGGTGGTCTGGCTTAGGTATTTGTAGGAGTTTGGGGGCTGTAGTGTTGAGTATTGCTCTTCATGTTATTTACTCCCCTGCAGAGGCTACATGGAATATGCTGAGTGATGGGTACCACAGTATGAACGCTGGTGTGCACAGTAGATCTGGCTCTAGATGTTGCTGTCTCTTCCCCACCCCAGGTTCAACTGGCTCATCGGGAGCAGGTGGCAATGTACATAGACCTGGATGACATTGCTGAGGATGATCCCGAGTTGGTGGACTCTATTTGTGAGAATGCTAAGCGCTACGCAAGGCTCTTTGCAGATGTTGTGCAAGAGCTGCTGCCTCAGTACAAGGAGAGGGAGGTGAGTGGTTGCAGGAAAAAGCAGGGCAAGAAGAGAACTTACCGGTCTGTCAAAAAGCTACTCACTGGTGTTTTCTGAGCTAGTAAAAAGGGAGTTCTGATTTCTATCTCATACCCTCTATGCTCTTTCCTTTACCCATCCTGCCACTCATTTTTCCTATCTTTCTTCGTGTAGGTGGTAAATAAAGATGTCCTAGATGTCTACATTGAGCACCGGCTGATGATGGAGCAACGGAGCCGGGACCCTGGGGCTGCCCGAAGCCCACAAAACCAGTACCCTCCTGAGCTTATGCGCAGATTGTGAGTGGTCTTAATGGGGAAAGTGTGGGGATTCCCCACCCAGAACCTTACTAGTGACTATTTTCTCCTTCTAGTGAGCTGTACTTTCAAGGTCCAAGCAGTAGCAAACCTCGTGTGATCAGGGAAGTACGAGCTGACTCTGTGGGGAAATTGGTGACTGTGCGTGGGATTGTCACTCGAGTCTCTGAAGTCAAGCCCAGAATGGTGGTGGCCACTTACACTTGTGATCAGTGTGGGGCAGAGACTTACCAGCCGGTATGTATAACACAAGGACCAGGAACACACTTAATTGCTAAGTATTTTAAGTGTTCGTTTTGTCTGATGTTTATCTGCCTTTTGTGTATTGTAGAGCCTGTCTTTGTGTTCGCTCACCTTTCATTCTGACATATAGTCAGTGGTCTTTTATTTTGTGTTCTTGGTGCTTGTCATTCATTTAGAATAACTGAAGATGTTGATAATTCTTAAGTATTTGTAATGAAAAAAAACTGCAATGAAAAAGCAAACTGACTCTGGGTTTGCTTTTTTCTCATTGTTTTTGACCTCGTTTCCTATACCTTAGATCCAGTCTCCCACTTTCATGCCTCTGATCATGTGCCCAAGCCAGGAGTGCCAGACGAACCGCTCAGGAGGGCGGCTCTATCTGCAGACACGTGGCTCCAAATTCATCAAATTCCAGGAAATGAAAATGCAGGAACATGTGAGTTTGGGATAGGCGACCCAAGGAACTTGGCACTTGTAAGACTAATCTTGTCGCATAGTGGACAAATGAACAGGAGGAAAGAGTTGAGAGATAGTGATATTATCTAGAACAGGAAGGAGGTTAACAGGGATTTCCTTAGTTGGGAAGAGATAAAGGAGATTAGTTGTTCTCCTCCTGTAGGCTTATCTGAGACTGGGCAGGCTGAGTAGATAGTGCTATGCCCAGGGAGGGAAGGTTAGGTCCTCATGGGCCTTGGGTTCCTTCCACTAGGCCTCATGTACAATTTGTCCCGCAGAGTGACCAAGTGCCTGTGGGAAATATCCCTCGTAGCATCACTGTGCTGGTAGAAGGAGAGAATACAAGGATTGCCCATCCTGGTGACCATGTCAGTGTCACTGGTATCTTCTTGCCCATCTTACGCACTGGGTTCCGACAGGTTGTGCAGGTAAGAAATGCTGTTTGAAACGTTTTCGTTTCTACCTTACTCTTTCCTGTAGAGGAGATTGAACAGAAAAGTTTTGTCAGGCATTCCTAGATGCATGGATGGGCAAAGAGACTTTATTTGTATCCTGGCATTTTCCTGCCCAAGGGTTTACTCTCGGAAACTTACCTAGAAGCTCATCGAATTGTGAAGATGAGTAAGAGTGAAGATGATGAGTTGGGAGCTGGAGAGCTGAGCAAGGAGGAGCTGCGGCAGATTGCTGGTGAGGGGCCGTGAAAAGCCTGGGAATAGGGGTTTCTACTTGGGAATATTTTCTCAAAAAATAAGTGGTTTTTTAATTTTTCACAGAGGAGGATTTCTATGAGAAACTGGCAGCATCCATTGCCCCAGAGATTTACGGGCATGAGGATGTGAAGAAGGCTCTGTTGCTCCTGTTGGTGGGCGGTGTGGACCAGTCTCCTCGAGGAATGAAAATCAGGGGTAAGAGGGCATGGAGAAGGCTCAGGGTGAGTGAAGGCATTTGGGAGAAACGAGGGTAATAGCTTTGTGTTCCAGTACATCACAGAACATCGTCTTATGGGTACAGGGAAGGATTAGGAGAAGGTAGTGTTCTAGGTATGGTATGGGAGGAGGCCACCAAAGTATATTTCTGGGTAATTTGCATCAAAAGGCTAATCACTTAGGGTTTCCTTTTTTTTTTTAATCTCTAGGCAACATCAATATTTGCCTGATGGGGGACCCTGGTGTGGCCAAGTCCCAGCTCCTTTCCTACATCGATCGCCTGGCCCCACGCAGTGAGTAATTAATGGACCCTGACATTGTGAAAACCAGGGTAGGCTTTCTGTACTGTCGACTTTCTGGGGGGGTGGGGGGGGGAATGGGATCAAAAACGGGGGGGGGGGGTGGGGGGGGGAATGGGATCAAAAACGGGGGGGGGGGGTGGGGGGGGGAATGGAGATGATGCTATGTCAGGGCCCCACAGATCTTCAGGTGCTGCCAAAGGCCTGGGTGGGAGGGGGAGCAGTTCCAGTGTAGTTCTCACCTGACTACTTTATTCCTTGAATTCTTTGCTCTTTTGCGTGTGCTCATTCCTTCCTCTTTTCCTGAGTGATGTCTGTTTCTTCTCTTTCCAACCCTGCTGTTCAGGCCAGTACACAACAGGCCGTGGCTCCTCTGGAGTGGGGCTGACAGCAGCTGTGCTGAGAGACTCCGTGAGTGGAGAGCTGACCTTAGAAGGGGGCGCCCTGGTGTTGGCTGACCAGGGCGTGTGCTGCATAGATGAGTTTGACAAGATGGCTGAGGCTGACCGCACGGCCATTCATGAGGTCATGGAACAGCAGACCATCTCCATCGCCAAGGCTGGCATTCTCACCACACTCAACGCCCGCTGCTCCATCCTGGCTGCTGCTAACCCTGCCTATGGGCGCTACAACCCTCGCCGAAGCCTGGAGCAGAACATACAACTTCCTGCTGCATTGCTCTCTCGATTTGACCTCCTCTGGCTGATCCAGGACCGGCCTGACCGAGATAATGATCTACGGTGAATGAAGCTCAACACCCAAGAAGACAACCCTTAGTTGTGATCTGGAGGGAGGGAGGAAAAATTGGAACCCCCCTCAGATTCTCTCCTTATGGAAACTCCAGAGCTTTCCTACAGCAGGGCCTGGTCCACAGTTCTTAGGAAAAATGGTGGGTCAGGGCAGACATGCTGGTGAGGAGTTTCTGGGTGTGTGACACTGTCCCGCCAAGAGAAGATGGTGGAGCAGAGAGAAGATAGTGAATAGGGCTCAGAGTTTGTAGCACCACAAAGAATGTTCTTCCTTGCCTCCTCTTACCAGGTTGGCCCAGCACATCACCTATGTGCACCAACACAATCGGCAGCCCCCTGCCCAGTTTGAACCTTTGGACATGAAGCTTATGAGGTAGGCAAGCTGCTGGGTAAGGGCCTGTGTATCTCACTAGCTCTGTTGTGGTTGGGCCGTGTGTCTTCTGAAGTTTTCAGTGTTGGGGTGCATATTTTCCCGTAACTTCTCCAACTTAGAGAAGAATGGGTCTGCATCACAGTATCCGAACCTGCCTCTCACACCACCTCCCACCTTCCTGCCTCAGGTGAGGGGAACGGATTTCCAACTGGATCCCGGTCCATTGGTGCTTTCTCTTCTGTGGGTCTGTCCAAGGGCTCCCAGTGACCCCTGTTTTCTTGAAGTAAACCTTTGGTCTTTACATAAATAAAAAGTATATCTCCCCCCCCAAAGCCTTGTCCTATTTTCAGAGGTGGGACTTACTTAACCATTTCTGGTCACTGGTGAGATCTTACTCACACATAGGACATTTTCCTTGAAAAGTTAAAAATTCAGTGACAGTCAAGCTCTTGACACACACCCTAGTTTTCTGAAATGGAACATTCTTGTGATGGAAAAATTTGCTCCATTTCCCATGAGCTTTTCTTCCACAGACGTTATATAGCCATGTGCCGTGAGAAGCAGCCCACAGTGCCAGAGTCTCTGGCTGACTATATCACGGCCGCATACGTGGAGATGAGGCGAGAGGCTTGGGCTAATAAGGATGCTACCTACACTTCGGCCCGGACCCTGCTGGCTATCCTGCGACTGTCCACTGCTCTGGTGAGTGCTGAGCCCTGTGCTGCTGGAGGGTGGACTGCTGACTGGCAGGGCAGCCTGCCTCTTTAGTGTCCTCTCTTGCTGCCTGCCTCCCACCCGGGCCCTGCCGGGGCTAAAGTGCTGACAGTGCAGATAGTGTCCTCTCCGTGCTACCGCACTGTGGGTACTTGCTGCTCCAGCAGGGCATGCACAGCGTCTGTGGAGGGAAAGGCTTTCTCCCTGCTTCTCACACCTCATTGGGGAGGGGTGGGGTTTGTCTCACTCCCGTGTCCTTGTGCCTGTGCTAGAAACCTTCATTTCTGTCCTCACATCTCGGACCTTAGTCCTGGGGGCTCCAAAGTGCTGTTCGTGCAGGTAGTGTGATTACCTGACCTACTGCTGAGCTAGCACTTCCCGAGCCCCGGGGACACAACCTCTGCCATTCACCTTCTTGGCTGAACTCCCCAAGCTCCATCTGTCATGGTGGGGAGCCCAGTGGAGTTCAGAAGGGTCTGGTCTCCCTCACAGGACAGCTGAACACCGGGACTGGCCAGTGTTGAGAGGCGGAGACTTGGGCAATTGCTGGACGCTGCCCTGGGCATTGCACTTGTCTCGGTCTGACAGTGCCGGCCCCACACTGCGGATATTTGGGGTGGGGAGAGAAGGGTGCCTGCACTCTGTGAGTAGGCAGTACACAGGTTGCTCACCTTTAGCGCTGAAACCAGGGGGCTCCCTGACTTGTCGCATTCCCCTCCCGTTTCTATCTCTCTCCTACCTTCCCTTAGGCACGTCTACGAATGGTGGACATAGTGGAAAAGGAAGATGTGAACGAAGCCATAAGGCTAATGGAGATGTCAAAGGACTCACTTCTGGGCGACAAAGGGCAAACAGCTAGGTGAGTGGTTTATTGGAAGAAATCCCAGGGTCACCTTGACATGAGCAGACCACTTACCCTGTGGCTCCTGCATGCACATGCACAGGATGCTGACCTCAGGACTAAACACTGCTCCTGTTGTGGGATGTATCTATCATGTCAGGTGTTCAGTTTATGCCCTGACCTCACACTCCTGTTGTTATTTCCTTCAGGACCCAGAGACCAGCGGATGTGATATTTGCCACTGTTCGAGAGTTGGTCTCAGAGGGCCAAAGCGTCCGGTTTTCTGAGGCAGAGCAGCGCTGCATATCTCGTGGCTTCACACCTGCCCAGTTCCAGGCGGCACTAGACGAGTATGAGGAGTTAAATGTCTGGCAGGTCAATACAGCCCGGACACGGATCACTTTTGTCTGATCCCAATCACTTGATACTGGGGTTTGCTCTGCATACCATGCTAATTAAGCTTTCCCCTCCCGCTTCCTTTAAAAACCTAATTATGCCCTTGTGGGGAAAAGAGAACAGCCCCCTTTTTTCCCTGAGCTGCACTTGTTTTACTCCTTTTGCTAATAAAGTGTTTTTAGATTATTGCTTTTTGTTAAAACGGTAAATTTTCTAGATTCCTTATTTCCTTTATCCTTGTCTCATTTCTGTTCTGGCCAAACACCAATGATACTGGGGATGTGGTGACAGCTAAGCCCTGCTACAAGGTTATGTCTGAGTTGGATCTCCACTGTTTTCACTGGGACGCTGAGGCACAGGATCTAGTGCCAGCATGAAGTGCAGGCAGATTCTTGGGGCAAGGGCCTCTACATTTCTACTTCTGGCAATACCTTCATCAGACATCTCACCTCCCTGGTCCAACTCAAAAGCCTTGTTTTGGAAAATAAAAACCCAGGACTGAAAGGTAGCAGCTCCTAGCACAAGTCACAAATGCCCACATTTAGGCTACTTCACCTCAGCTCTATCAAGTAGAGTTGTACAACAGATGCCTCACAAGCCCGGCACACAGCTCAGTAACTAGCATGCAGTAAATGTCAGCAATAATCAAAAGATCTGTTGGCGCTACAATGCACAGACAACCAAGGACTTGAGCTGGCTCCAAAAAAAGTGTAATACCCCTTTTAGCCACTCCTTTCTGTACAGCTTGAGAAAGTAATTTGTTTACAGGGTTGGTGTCACAGGACATTTAAGGGGAAGAGTCCTTGAGTGGATGCTGGCGATTCTTATAAAAAAAATTCATCTGACTAGACCTGGGAACATGTCAAGTGGCTGTTAACAGCTGGTCACTGAAAGCTGTTGGTAGAGCAGATGCTAAAAAGGGACTCAAGCCTCCGAGACAGGGTAGAATCAAGGGCTTCCAAGTTGAGAAACCTGTGTGGTGCCTGAGAGAGAGAACACAGCCACTGGAAGGGGTGCTGAGGGGCTGCTCCCCTTTTATTAATAACAGGTTTCTCTCAAGGGAGTATAGTGCCCCTCCCCTCTGGGATAGTTATCTGACCCCTGTGCATCATCCCTTCAAGTACCCTCTCAGAAGAAGAGCCCCCGCATCCGCCTGCCGATGCCTTGTCGATCATAGAGGACGTTGAACTTGTTCACGAATTGGTTCATGGTGTTGCATGTTTTGGTGATGGTGCCAAGGTATGCCATGAGCCCCACATCATTGCATTGCTGGGAGGGAACAGAAAAAAAAAGTTCCCCAGGGGTTGAGGTCCCTCACAAATAGCCCAGGATGCAGCTGAGACCCAAGTTCTCCATGCAGAAACACCCCACCCCCAATAGGTTTTAAAACTCACATCATAAAAGTCTGTCTTGAACTTGTCTGTGCTGAGCACTGGGAGGCAATGACACAGAGCATAGGCCTCCCGCAGGATCTCATGGTTAAAGGGAACCTCTCCTATAGACATAAAAAGGCTACATTAATGTGGTTGCCATCACTTCCCTGAGAGGGAGAGGAAATGTGATACAATTGTCAGGGAGACGCCTATCCTACCTGCTTCAGAGGCCTTGACATACTCCAAGATTAGCTTGACACGGCTGTGCAGCATCTTGATAGCACTATGCTGTGCTATCAGGTGTTCAGCCACTGCATCAGGGAGATACAAGCCACAGTTGAGAAGGCATGTGACTATACCTTCCACCCTCACGTATAAGGAAGCCCCTCCAGTTGCCATTACCAGTGGAGTTCTCTCCACTGCCAGTTGCCGTCATTCGGGCCACATGGTCTACACCAATGCGTTCAGCTTCTTCTGTGGCCAGAGTGTAGGTCAGCTCAGCAAACAGCATTGTGGCCTAAAGTGCACATAAGGTAAGTCAAAAGCAGGAAAGTAAGGAGCACAACCTGACGGCTGAAGGTCAGGGTATTACCTCTCCATTGATTATGTCAATGACAGACTCAAAAACACTGACTGGGAGCTGTAAAGAGATGGAAAAGAATTGTTACTAACAAGCCCTCAACTGGGGTTTGACCTTTCACATTAGGTTTCCTCATCTAATCTTCCCAAGCACTCAGTGAAGTAGGGATTCTCACTCTTGAAAAATGCAGTTAGCAGTCAAGTAACTAACTCAATGGAACTCTCATCCAGTGAAAGTCATAGTGACAGATAAGCTTGACAGTGTGAGTACAGGGCCAGGGTTACTCACGTCTGTGTGCTTGGTCATAGGATTCAACTTAAGAAAGAGGGGGCTCTCGATGATCTCGCACACCTGAAAGGGGAATAATGAACAGAGTGTCGATGCCCATCTTCCCCTCAGCCTACATTCTCTGCCCCAGCATGCACAGGTGTGAGCATGTATACCTGCTTGTGGACGTGGATGTCGGAGGGATCAGGCGGCCCCCCTGTGGTATACCAACCCAGAAACTCCAGCTCCTTGAATACCTGTTTAACTGGGGAGGAAGGGGCCAGAGCACATAGTATTTCTTTAAACCATCCTTCCTTAATTGGAAATTCCTGTTATATTTTCAAACACCTTCTCTCCCTGCTCAAATTCTGGTTCAGTTTAGGGTGTATCTTCTATGCGATCTTTCATCCTTCACCTTTGGGGAAATAATCTGAATGTGTTCTTTTCCTGACATCTCTTATGCTACTCTCTATTCATTTTCCCTCTCTTCATGTCCCGTTACTTCTTTGCAACCCTCTCCATCTTCCCCACTCTGCTTTTTGTACTCCCACTCCTCTCCCGCACTTCTATTCCCTTCTCACACTGCTCCTCCTTGGTGTAATAATATTCCTTGTCAATGATAATCTTCTCTTCCACGGTGTGCGACAGCAGCTCAAAGGAGTTCATCACCTCGATATTTCGGCCTTCCTGCTTCCCGATCAGAGCCCCAATCACTGGTGGAGATAAAGTCACAAAAGAGGTGAACCTAAGGAATATGCTGAAACTTTTCCCTAACCATCCCAGCTTAAGGGTTTGAGGTCAGGGTGAAACAGGTATTGGGGAAACTGGCTTCATTAAAGAATGGGAAAAGCCCACTGTCTGCGGGTGGTGATGAAAAATAATTTGAAGAATTATGCCGAATACTCACCCTGCATAGGCCGCCCTTCCTGGGAGCGCATGCGAATCCAATGGTCTGAGATGTTGAGGATGACGAGAGGATGAAGAGCGACTGAAACACTTCCAGTCACTCCGGAGGCCATCACGCTGGGGACTACTAGAGGTGGAGGAAAAAGGCGGGTAAGTCCGGCTCCCAGTTCTTTTCTGGGGTTGGGAGTGGGAGAAGCAGGACCCTGGCCATACACTGCTCCCGCAAGTTATCCCGAGGAGCGCTGTAGCTGTTCTGCCCTCCTGACTCCCCCTGCGAGTCCAGGACATCTTTGACGCGCCCCGAGGGCTGTCTCCAGAGGCTGCCCTCGCGGGGCGCGTTACCTGCTGCGTCCACCTCCATCCCGCTGCTCCCTCCGGTCCCGTTCGCCGCCGCTGCCGCCGCCGCCGCCATTTTCCCCACGCCTGCCAGCCTTGGCCCCGCCCCCTCCCTCCCGGTTTCCGTAGGCCTGCGGCGCATGCTCAGTGTTCTGTGCGCGCGCCCGTACTGGCGCAGGGCAGCCGCGGTCTTTCCCGTCTGGCGCCGCTGCTCGAACTGGCGGTGGCGCTCGAACAGGGTGGCCCGGGGTCCGCAAGTCCTCGCATCTGAGATATTGCACAAACTCTGGCCAACCCTCTCGTGTGCGATTGACCGTGAACAAATTGACCCTACTCAATTTTACTTCTCATCAGTAAAATTGGGTTAAGACTGCCTAATTGCTAAGGTTCGCAGAAAAGAATGGCATATCGTGTTACTGCCCTCAGCGTAAAACCCACGCTCCTAACCACGGCCTGCGAAGCCTGCAAGATCCAGACCCTGCCTGCCAACGCCCAGGCCTCTGCTGGCGTGATCCAAGTGTTTCAGCCACAGTGGCCCTCAGATCTGTCCTTTCAAACACCCCACTGAAGGGCCGTCTGTCTCGCTCATCCCTGTGATGGACACAGGGCACCTGAATAGTATTTGAATGAATGAATAAGTAATTTAGGTGGAACCTGTTCTTTCCCATCTTTTCTCCTCCCAAGTAATAGTGGCGACTGTGAAATGACTTTAAAATTGAATCAGTTGATTATACATGCTTTGACAGTAAGCTCACTGAGCATTTCTTGCAACTGCATTGTATTTAAAAACAACCCAGGGCCCTTTCTGGTTGCACAGTGCATTGAAGCACGCCACTGTGAAGCTAGCTGCACCCACTTCACAAGTTCAGTCCCCAGCCAGGGAGGTGGCTTCAGTGGCGCAGCAGACCTCGCCTGTCTCCCCTGCAGCTCCCCTCAGCAGTATACTTGGTTAATCTGCCTGTCCTGCACCCCACTCTGTCTCTGGTGAATCTTCTCACTGCCACTGTACCTCTGGCCTATACCCCAGTTTTGTATGCATAGATAAATAAATCTAATAAATAAATAAAAGCAACCAAGCAAAAAGAACTACCAATAAAACCCCAGAAGACCTGCAGCTGCACAAGCTAACACACCAATTTCATCTTGCCTTCCACTGAAGCTAAACATAACTCCCACTGATTTGTTGTTTTGTTAACTTTTCTTCCCGCAGGGTAGGGGTAACTGAATGGTGAGGAATAGAGCAGAGGAACCACCTCGGAGTTAGTTTGGATATGATACTGACAAAGTGAATGAATGAGTATATACATCCATAGATACATAAATAGAACAAAAAAGAGAAAAGATAACTGAGGACTGGAGTGAGTCCCCTCCCAGAAACAGACCAGTCTAAGTGATTGAGAGCTGTGAGTCTGGTACTACCAAGAAATTGTATCTCCTTGGGCTCAGTGCTGGCCCTCCATTCATTTGTCCTTTATTCATTTTGTTAACCAAAAAATCAGGAAGCAGGGGGCCTCTCTGATGGCAGAGGAGGTTAAAGTCTCAGTGCTATCATTGCTACAGCCTAAGTTTGATCCCAGCCAAGGAGCTGACCCACATGGCACAGTAGACCTCTCCTGTCTCCCCCACTGCTCCCCTCCGCATATTTCAGTAAATCCACTTATTCTGCTCCCCACTCTGTCTCTAATGAATCCTCTCACACACCCCCGCGCACACACACACCTCTGGCCGGCACCCCAGTTTTCTATGCATAAATAAAAATTTTTTTAAAAAAATCAGGATGCAATTAAAAAGTAAAGCATGTTTATTTGGGAACAAGGAATTGCAATTTAAGGGAGAACAGGTTCAGGCAGAAACCCAAAATGTGCCCCAAGGAAGAACAAAGTATACAGGGTTTTTATGGAGAGGAAAAGAAGTCTGAAGTAACAGTAAAGTAAAGGGGTCCTGAGGTAAAATATCAGATGAATGGTCACAAGACAAAAATAGGTAAAATTCTCTTTTATCTGTTCTTTCAAATGGGATATTCTCATCTTGCTAACTTGTTGGCCTGTTGAAAGCTTTACCTGGTCTATGTAGACAATTTGTCTAAAATAGCTGCCTGGCTCCACTGTGGCAACTTTTCACAATTTACTTAACATAGGTCGGAGTGTCTACACTATTAGGAGGGACGGTGGGGTGCTGTTGTACAGGGAAGGGAAGATACCAATGGAGGGAGGGAACAGGCATAAGGATCCCTTGCATGCATATTCAAACAAAGGGAACTGCTTGTTCATTCCAGGAATAACATCAATGGCTGGAACTAAGTGGATGAGGGAGAGAGTAATCAGATATGAAGTCAGAGAGGTAACAGGCTCAGATCATGTGAAACTTTAAAAGGACTTTGGTTTTACATAAAACACCTGGAAGCAAAGATGCGCCAAACACTACACGACATAAACATCAGTGACACCTTTAAAGATACAGCACCCAATGCAACGATAGTGAAGGTAAGGATAAACAGGTGGGACTACACCAAGTTAAAGAGCTTCTGTACAGCAAAAGTGACATTACAAAAGACAAACAGACATCCCACTGACTGGGGAAAAATTTTCTCACACAAAACTAGCAATAAAGGATTGATCACAAAGATAGACTAAGAACTGGTGAAACTCAACAAAAATAAACAACCCTATCAAAAAATGGGCAGAAGAGCTAAAAAGACACTTCTCCAGGGCCCTCCCTGGTGGCACAGCAGGTTAAAGCACAGCACTGAGAAGCTTAAGCCACTTCCGCATGAGTTTGATTCCCGCCTGCCCCAAAGGTGACCACATGGCACGGCAGACCTCTCCTGACCCGCCCGCTGCTCCCCTCAGCAGTGTACTTCATCGAGCTGCCTGTTCTGCTCCCCACTCTGTCTCTGGTGAAGCCTCTCACCGCCCCTGAGCCTCTGGCCTGTACCCCAGTTCTGTATGCACAATTAAATAAATCTTTAAAAAAAAAAAAAAAACTAGCAACAACAAATGTTGGCGAGGGTGTGGAGGAAAAGGAGCTCTCCTTCACTGCTGGTAGGAATGCAAACTAGTACAACCATTATGGAAAACTGTTTGGAGGTTTCTCAAACTATTAAAAGTGGAGCTTCCATATGACCCAGCAATCCCACTCCTAAGTACTTACCCAAAAGACACAAAAACACTGGTTTAAAAAGATACCTTTATCCCCAAGTTTATTGCTGCTTTATTCACAATTGGAAAGACATGGAAACAGCTCAAATGCCCAAAAATGAATAACTGGATTAAAAAGATGTGGTACGTATACTCAGCAATAAAAAAAAATAATAATAAACACATGTCTTTTGCAGCATACATGGATGGAACTGGAAAAGATTGTACTTAGTGAAATAAGCCAGAAAGAAAAGGAAAAATACCGGATGGTTTCTCTCATGGCAGGAATATAACAGAACAGGAGAGAAAATAATGATAATGATGAACATCTATATACCAGAGACATTTTGGGGGGGTTCAGTGGGGAATGGGATCAAAAACAGTGGGGGGGAGGAAAATGCACTGGACTATGGTGATGGCACACGGGGGATCCCAAGGGGATTGCAACTGAGATGGAAAAATGCACAAAAATGATATAAAAATAAACTATTATATTATTAAAAAAAAAAAGGACTTTGGTTTTCAATCAGACTGATCTGAACAGAGGCATGGGATCACCTGAGCTGGCTGGGGCCCACATCTGCAACAATAAAACATGGACTTTAGCCAAGTCTACTCTCCTCCAGGTCTCAGCCAGTAACCTTTAATCCCTTTGTTCTCAAACTCCAGTTCCAGACAGACCCCAGGCCCCAACACATCCTTGAGTTTCTCTTTCATGCCCAGAGAGGTCTCTCTGGGGATTCTCCTTTCCAGCCCTTTCACTGGCTCCTTGCCTGCCCTCACCCCCTGGGGTCTCTTTTCCTTCTTGATCAGAGGCTCTCAAGAGCCAGTTCCTATTTGGGAGTAGACTGGCAGGTGGAGCAGTGGACCGGACCGCTTCACTCCAACTTAGCTGCCTGTGTTGTTGGCAGGTGGGATCAGACTGGGGGCCCCAGGCCCACTCCCTTGTCCAATGACCCATCTATCAGAGCCAAGGTGTGTTTCACAGTTACTGTCTCAAAAGTTATGTATATAATTTTCCACATCATTCACCTTCCAAGTGCTTAACTGAACTGCCAGGCCTAAATTGACTAACAAGAGGGTAACAGTGAATTGTAACAAGATTCATCCAGGGGAACATCCGCCAGCTGAGGATGAGAATGACCTCAAGTTCTGCTCCCTCAAGTCCTGCCCTCTGAGTGAGTAGTAACATCTACTTTCAGTTTTACATAGCTGTCCCTCAGGCTGGACAGCAGCAGCCACCCACAGACCCCAGCAGGTTTTGACTTGGCTAAGTTGCCAGCAAGCTACATCAAGTATTTAGGAAAACCTCTGAGATTTGAAGACCTCATTTTTTCCCCCTTGCTTCAGATGATTTCTCCCGAAAGGGTAGCTGCTTTTTCCTAAAAAAAAAAAATCCCTCTAGGACAATGCTATGCTCTTAAACACTCTTAAACACCCCATTTCTATTGACTGGCAGGACTTTTTAGGCTCTTGTATCCATCTAATCCTCAGGTTGGACTGAGGCACCCAGACCCGGTTAGCAAGCCCGAGTGTTCTAGGACCAAGTGTACCTGGAAAGTATGCCCAGCAGGCGACACTGTTGCACTGAGAAATGACAAGTCACAGCAGCGATCAGGTTTTGGTTTTTGTTTTTTTTAAGATTTATTTATTTGTGCATACAGAACTGTGGTACAGGCCAGAAGCTCAGGGGCGGCGAGAGACTTCACCAGAGACATCGTGGGGAGCAGAACAGGCCGACTAACGAAGTACACTGCTGAGGGGAGCAGTGGGCAGGTCAGGAGAGGTCTGCCGTGGTCACCTCCGGGGCAGGCGGGGATCGAACTCTTGTGGAAGTGGCTTTAGCTTCCCAGTTCTGTGCTTTAACCTGCTGCACCACCAGGGAGGGCCAGGATCAGGTTTTTAAATAAAATGGAGGTTTTTCTTTTTGACTCTAAGCATTCTTTATTTCCAATAGCCCATTTCAGAAGCTCTACACACAGCAGTTCCAAGAATGGGAAAATCTCCTCTAATACTTAACACTGGTAAAGGGCAAGAAGGTGGCCATCAGTTCTGCTGCATGATCAGGTACAGAAGCGGCTAAGGGGCCCCACCACACAAAATCATTTTAGCTTCACTCCTCCACCGCGAGCCTTAAGACCCCAACCTTAAGCTTACTAGCTCTTCTCCTACAGGAACAAGGACCAAGAAAATCAAGCACATGTTTTTTATTTCAAATCTACCAAGCTAAGTATTAAACGAAATTTATTAAACTTTTCTGGCCTGGGGTCAGGATTTAACTGCACATTTGGAGGAAATACAAGGGACAGAGAAACTTATCAGGAAGGACATCACAGGGAGATGGGGAAATTGCAGGCTAAACATGCTTTTTCCTAAACAATATCACAAGAAAAATAAGACAAAGGAAGAAATCATAGATTAAAAGAAACAAAGGACCCATCTAATCTAGCTGTTAACTTTATTTGGATCCCAATCCAAACAAACAGAATCATAAAAAAATAAAAATTTCAAGGCAATCAGAAAATTGCAATTACTTGGTATATAACATGAAATAGTTCTTGTTCAGTGTTTTTAGTTGTGATAATGGTATCATAGTTAGTTTTATGTCAGTTTTAAGAGATTTTGTTATGTAGACAAACATACTAAAATATTCACAGATCAAATGAGACATCTGGGATTTGCTTCAAAATAATCAGGAAGGTGAATGGTACTATAGATGAGGCAAGAGTGGTACTTTCTTGCCTCATCTTGACCACTGCTAAACCAGCATTAAAAAAAACTATTGAATTTTATTCAAATTTTAATTTACTATGAACACAAAGCTTTTATGTTTAAAAGAAATCATTTTTGGGTTAGTTTATCATTATAAGGAGTACTCACAATTGATCATATCAACATATTAAATTTTACTGATGACCAGCAGTTTTTTTTTTTTTAAGATTTATTTATTTATGCATACAGAACTGGGGTACAAGCCAGAGATGCAGGGACGGTGGTGAGAGGATTCACCAGACACAGTGGGGAGCAGAACAGGCCGACTGAGGAAGTGCACTGCTGAGGAGAGGTCTGTTGGGCCATGTGGTCAGCTACAGGGCGATGGATCCAACTGGTGCTGAAGTGGCTTTAGCTTCTTACTGCTGCGTTTACCCACTGCACCACCAGGGAGGGCCCGATGACCAACAGTTTTTTATTAGAAATTTATCTCAAGTGCAGCACTGCAAAGCTGGCCGGACTGTTTCAGTGCGAGTTTGATCCCCATCCTGGAGGTGACCCACATGGCGTGGCAGACCTCTCCTGTCTCACCTGCTGCTCCCCTCAGCAGTGTACTTTCTCCATCTGCCTGGTCTGCTCCCCACTCTGTCTCTGGTGAATTATCTCACTGCCACTGCACTCTGGCCTGTATCCCAGTTCTGTATGCATAAATAAATAAATTCCAAAAAAAGAAATTTATCTCAATAAGAAGGGGTTGTCTTGTTTTTCTTATGGAGATAACTTATTGTAAGAATAAAGTATCAAATCTATTTCTATTTCCATTTTCATAGATGTAAGTGTAGAGAAATCCTGTTTACAGAAATGAGCAGATGTGTAGAAAGAGGAATAAAATTATAGCCATATCCTTGTCTAAAGAGCTAGTCAGGAGAGAACCAGGAGACCATCAGTTCCCTAGCTTCTACTTACTTTGGGCACAGCTTGCATTTTTAATTCTACATTTCCCCTTTCTTTTAGACATAGATATATGGAATATTAAACATTTACTTCCCCACCCCTATGGATTGCCTTGAGCACTCCCCTGGGTGGGTCATGGCACCATGGAGAGACCATAGACTCAGAAGAATCATCAATGGCATGGCTGTTGAAAGGCTGCTTGGGTGGGTTCTGAGGCTAAGATCAATGGTAAACTGAAAATCGACTAATAAGTACCAGAGTAATAGTGCTGGGAGCTCCTCAGGACTACCAGAAGACCTTTTAAAAAACAATCCTGCTTCTAGGAGGAGCCTCATTCTAATTCCACCCTTCTCTCTTCCTGCCTCTGCCTCTTTATCTCTGCTCTCATCCTGGTGGAAAACTGGAAGGGTAAGGAATTAATAGAAGAAAGAGTAATAAAAGCCCCGTTTTTAGGGCAGGCTGGAGTTTATGAAGTATTTGATGAAAGTCCCACTGGGTCTATCAACATGCTCACACCTCTCAGACCACCCTCCAGTTGCTTACCAGCACATTGGTCTCTGTTGCCTCAGAACTTTTGCACCAGCTGCTTCTTTTACCTAGAACACTCCTTTCCCCTCACTGGCCTACATCATTTTTTTTTTTTAATTAATTTTTGTGTAGAAAACTGGGGTGTAGGACAGAGGTGTGGGGGGTGAGAGGATTCACCAGCAACAGAGTGGGGAGCAGAACAGGCAGATGGATTGAAATACACTGCTGAGGGCAGCAGTGGGCCAGTCAGGAGAGGTCTGCTGCACCAAGTGGGTCAGCTCCCCGCCCAACAGAAAGCAGGCCTCAGGCCTGGAGCCATTAGTGGTGAGACTTAACCCTTAGGCCACCAGGGAGGTCCCTGCATCACTTTTGGAAAGTCTTCTTGCCTTTCTACAGAGCCTGGGTCTTCTTATCTTTCCCTAACACATATCACATCTTGTTGGATTTTACTGAAATTTCTCTCCTTAGAGACTTTGTATTAAATAAACTGAGGCAAACAAAAGAGAGTTTATTAAAAAATCAAGCCTAAAGATGTGAACCCCCGGGCCCTCCCTGGTGGCGCAGCGGGTTAAAGCACTGCACTGAGAAACTAAAGCCACTTCCGCATGAGTTCGATCCCCGCCTGTCTGGGAGGTGACCACATGGCGTGGCAGACCTCTCCTGACCCGCCCGCTGCTCCCCTCAGCAGTGTACTTCGTCGATCTGCCTGTTCTGCTCCCCGCTCTGTCTCTGGTGAATCCTCTCACCCTCCGCATCTCTGGCCTGTACCCCAGTTCTGTACAAAAAAATAAATAAATCTTTAAAAAAAAAAAAAAAAAAAGATGTGAACCCCCAAACAGCCTCCAGGTGGTTTGGCGAAGTTTCCCAAAGAGAGCTGTTTAAATTTTCCCTACTCATTTCAAGTTTTCTCTTTGGGGAACTGGAAGTTTTAGCAATGTCACATATTCTGCAGTTGAGATTCTCTAAAGTTACTGATTTGTCTAGAGGCAGAAGTTTCCAAAATGCTGCTTTTCCCACAAAGTTAACACTTATCCTGGGACTTTCCGCAGGACCAGAGCTGATTCTGACTCCTGTCTTTGCACTCTTTAGTTGGGCCCAGGGTGAGGGGTACCCACTTAATTGCTAGCTTTGGTTAACAGAGTTAAGTGACCGGGTGAGTAGGGTCTTTGCACTGGCAGAGCTGAGTGGGTGCACATACCCACTGGGTGCGGTAATTCTGGAGTCAAATCAAAGGGGAGTCGGGATGCCCGTGTCACTCACCTTTGATATATAATCTGTAAGGATTTGACTCTCCACACGACAAGTTCTTCCTGGAAGGGCATAGCCTGTAAGTGGCATTTTATCACGTGCACTGGTTTTGTCTTCATGTGAACTCCCTTGATGGGCTGGAATGTTTCCTTCAGATTTTAGTCACTTAAAGGGTGCATTTGTAACTAAAACGCATGCACACTTAGTCTGGCAATTTCAAATAGGGGCGAATTTTTTTTTTATTATTGATGAATTCTTCAAGGGTCCTATTCGCTGCGACTGGGTTTGGGAACTCAGTGGCCGGCACCAGGGGCGACTACGGAGCAGGTGTACCCCCGCCGCCAGAACCGAATTTCGCCCGAGCATGCGCGCTGAGGCCGAGGTGCCGGCGCCCCGCCAGGTCCAGTGGGCAGGACGCACGCGCACACGGCGGCGGCGTGGGCGGAAGTCCCGCGGAGCCGCGTCAGCACTGGGCCCTGCGCCCTTGCGACCGATATGAACCTCGGAGCTGGCAAACCACTGAGAGACGCAGTCCTCCCATGTTCCTAGAGAGAACATGTGGGCGTGAGGGGGGGGCTCGGGCATGGGGTGGGTGGTGAGCAGAACCGACCCGGAAGCGAAATAGGGGGGGACTTCCGTTCTTTGTTCTGTCCCTGGTGTGTAGGTCTGTGACAGGGTCCAACGGGGCCTGGTCCGTGTCCGGTCCCCCAGTCCTCCCGTCCCTGCCCCCAGGGTGAGTCCGGTCGCCCCCGGGGCTCGCGGTGACGCGGAGGCTGCGGTCGCCCGGGATGGGGGTGGTGTCCGTGCCGCCGAGGCCCGCGGAGTCCCCAGGTCCGCCAAGAGCAGGGGCCCGGGAGGCGCTGCGCCCTACCCCGCAGCGGTCCCCGACTCCCTTTCCCCTGGAACACCCCGTCCCCAAGTGGGGCCCTTCGCTGGGGGGAGGAAAGGGGCCTCGGGTCTGATTTTGTGACTTAAACAGCATCCAGGGCGAGCACTTAAAAGTTCCTCCTGTGGTCTAGGCTAGCTCGGCGCGGTGGGGAAGAATCCACAGAGTAAGAGGTTAGAAGTAAAGCAAAGTTTACGCTCCGAGGGAGGGAAGCTAGAAGTCGGGCAGACTGCAGAAGTCAGGAACTGTGCAAAGTGACAGGAGTTGGAGTGGCGTCTTTATACTTCAGTATCATTTGCCTTGTGGTTTCTTGTTGCTCACTTAGCAAGCTTTTTGTTAGCGCTGTGGGATGGCAAGTATGGCAGGTGGCTGAAGCGTTGGTATGGGCACCAGCTTACAGGAAACATTGCCAGTGGTTAGGATATTAGTGGGGTGCCAGTTTAGGACCCTGTTTTAATTTTAGTTTTATCTTACCTCATCAGTTCCTATATGACCGTACAGGTGTCCCTCTCTAAAACAGATGTTGACAGCGACCCTAGTTTGGTAGATCTCTGAGACGCTTTTATTTGCTGTTAACAGTTATTCGTGCAGTGACAGGAGAGAAGGATCGAAAGGTTCTACAAAGTATATAGCTAGAACTCGTTCTAGAAGGGAGTGCAAACTCATATTTCAGGACTAATTTCCCCTGGCACCTAGTAAGTCGAATCTTTGTCGGGAGTGGTACAGAACTGTAGTTCCCACTTTCATTTGTATCAGACACCTTTTGAAGTGGCATTGAGCACAGACTGGTGTTTATGGACTGTGGGGTGTGTAAGCAGAGGATCAGCAGGTATTGATGAACCAGAAGCCTATGGAATGATTAGAGAAACAGTTTTCGTCCTCAAGAAGAGAAGTTTGTGAAGACTGGGCAACATCTGGTTTCAAATGTTAGATGGATGGCAGGGTGGAAAAGAAACAAGTCTGTTATTGATACTCCGTTGGGCACTGGGCTTCTTAGGTGAAGATCCATGGGGTAGTTTCAGCTTCCTGCGGGAGACCTCTAAAGCTAAGCTGTACAAGCTGTTGAGTATCTAGGGGGTGCTTCTTACACTGGGTAGAGGTTGATCTGGATAACCTTCCATTCCCTTTTAATTCTTCAGGGGTACAATGCGGTTACTAGTTTTGGTCTTAGTTGGTATTTGAGCTTATGCCCTGTTTTATCTTACCTCTAAATGAATAAGAAGTGAAGTTTCCACAAACATTAAAAATTTCCTTTTTCCTCCCTTAATCACACAGCACTTGCATCAGCTAAAGTCAGAATTCCAAGAAACTTGAACAGAGGCTACCAAATTCCCAGTAATTGCTACGTTGGCCTTCTGACAACTAACTTGAAGGAAGGAAGGAGTCCAGCAGGTAATGCTTTTCTCGACTTGTTCTCACTGCCAGGTCACCTTTCTCTGTCCCCAGAGCAGATCCTGGGACCGAGGTTGGCATTGGAGCAAGGCAAGCTCTGCCTGGACCTGAAGCTGTGGGCATACAATGAAGATTTTCTTTCTCTGAGGAACACTGTTTACTGATCCTGACACTGGGCACTTGTTCTCAACAATATGCCTTTGAGTTTCAGCTTTGGTTAACCCAGTTGTGGGGAGAGAGCTTTGCTTTTTTTCAGGAGTCAGCGTCAGACTTTTGCTTTCTGAGGAGGGTTTGGACTGAGAGCTGATTTGTTGGGGGTGTTTACTTATAAACAGTCCTGGCTGTTGTGAAGTTGGCTGACAGAAACAAAAAGGTGACCAACTTTTAAGACAGTTGAAGGGACCCCGCTGGGAGGGTGATGGTGGCAGGTGGGTATGTCACTATGATTGCCAGCGGTCCTTATACCTTATTCGGTGCTTTCACTGTGGAGGCACTAATGTTGGCATTCTGTTTACCCTTTGCTGCCAGAAGACTACTGCACTCTGTTGTCACAGCTCTCAGACACAGCTCCTCCCTTTTTTAAGTCTTTTGTGAATGCAAGGTTTGTAATGATGAAGCAAATACTTTTTGCGCTCCTGATTTTTGTGGCTGTTGTTCCTTTCTGTAAAGCAAATCTTCACTTAACAGCTTGGACTTTAAGTGAAAAGTGTAATAAAAACAGGTCTTGCTATAGGGCTTTACAATATGGCTTGCACTCAGTAAATGTTTGTTATATGAACAAATGAAGAAAGAGAGGTAAACAATGCCCAGCGGGTTTCCTTCTGCCCTTGCCTTCAAGGAGGATGCCCTGATGGCTGCTGCACCTGTTCTAGGTCTGTTGAGTCTTGTTCCAGCCTCCAGCGCTAAGGTGTGAAGGAGAAACTTTGAGATCCAAATCTTAATCTAGATAGCAATGCTACATTTTATTCACTGGAGTCACAGAGAACAGATCTCTTTTTATTACCATAGCTACTGAGTAGTAGGATGTCAGTAGGGATAAAAAAACAGAAAAATAAATCATCTCACTTTAATTTTAAAGTATTGATCCCCATTTCAGGGACTTACATTCTGATTTAATATTTTATAATAAAAGGAAATACAGTACAGGCTGTCTACTAACTTATAAATGAAACACAGCAACTGGGACTAGGCTTTTAGATCCTGATGAGTATGTCTGCCTGTTCTCTATAATGAGTCTACTCAAAGGCCACCAAAATGGGCCCAAATTCCTCTTTAATATTCCACCTTTGACTGACACTCATTCACTGACTTAGAAAGAAAAGGGAGATAGGATTCTGAGCTCTTTGTTTTAGTTAAAATGTGAACTCTTGCAAAGTTTCTTTGATCTCTAAGATTTAGGTGCTATCTCCTGACCCCCTTTCCTCTGAATATAAGACCTAAATTTAGTAGCTGGAAACCTAATTATGTTTTTTTGTCTTACCAATTCTAGTGTTTATGAGTCTGTCCCTGTTCCCTCACCCACCACCTCCATATAAAAGATTAGCTTATTCATTTGCCCCAAATATTCATGAAAGTTGATGGGATACATACACACTTTACAATCTGTATGTGCACACTTACTTATTCTGGCACCATTGTTATAAATGTCACTCAGGGTGTTGGTGGAGTAAAAGTGGGATATTGAGAAACTTGCACCATTTTTGTGATCTTTATCATAGGGAGTCTCATTACAGGGAGTAAAGCTCCACAAAACCACATCTCCATCAACAGACTGTATTCAGAGTGGTGGTCCCTATGTGTAACCTAGGTGGTAGTATAATTTTACACAGTGACAGAATTGCCTGGTGTTTCTCAGACTGTATCCCCATTTCAGGGACTGTTGTACCCATTGCTAAGGACACATGTATATTCAACAGACTATAAAAGACTAGTTCTAATCGCTGCATTTCTTAACTGTTCTTCAATACTAACTAAAATGCTAGTTCTTCTCTTTCTGTATTCAGGTATTATCTTGGTTTTTTATTTTTATTAGTATTTTTCTTTGACTCTTTAAACTTTTGCTTCTGCAGTGCTTCCTTATTTTCCTTCAAAATCTGTGCTCTGCGGAGTCTGCAAATAAGAGACCAGAGACCCAGGACTTCTAGCCCCACCCATGGAAACTCAGGCTGGTTGTGTATCTCAGGAACCTCAGGCCTTGCTTGAGAGTGGTAAGAATGGGATTCATTCATTCTTTTATTCAGTCAGCAAAACATTTGTTGAAAAATCTCATTCACCAGGCAGGAGGCTAGCCACTAGCCTAGACATCGATAAGCACAGCCCTTACATTCAGTGGCTCACAGCCTAGTGGGGAAGGCTGACTGAAGCTAGTAATTAATGTACAGCTTGGTAGCTTTCATAGCTGAGTTATTTTTGAAGGGCTAGAGTGCCTCATGTAGGATTAAGTAAACTTTGACAATCATTGAATTCCATTTTGCAGCTACTTTGTAATAGCTTCTTAGTCTCAGTGTGTGCTCTTTAGAGGAGGCTTTTAGAAATTACTTTGTAGGTCACAGCAAAAAATGACATAGGTGGAAAGCCACACAGTATTTACATTTTGCTTTGTACATTGTCCCTGACTTTGGTGCCAGTTTTTGTCTTAATGGGTATTACTTCCATGCTTATCAGGAAAAGCATCTAAGGACTTTTTGTCTTAAGGGATTTAGATTCTCCAAGGGACAAATACATAACCTTTAAAAAGTCAGAGGAAGTGGGCCCTCCCTCTTGGCGTAACGGATTGGGACGTAGCACTGCAAGGTGGCCGCAGCTGCCTCAATGCAAGTTGGATCCTTGGCTCTGGAGGTGACCCACAGGGTGCAGCAGACCTCTTGATCCACCTGCTGCACCCGTCAGCAGTGTACTTCGTCGATCTGCCTGTTCTGTTCCCCACTCTGTCTCTGGTGATTCCTTTCACTGCCCCAGCACCTCTGGCCTGCACCCCAGTTCTGTATGCATAAATCAATCAATCTTTAAAAAAAAAGTCAGAGGAAGCAGTATGTGGTCAAGTTCAGAAATGGGAAACATTTGTAGTGTTTGTGATTTATAAATTGGATCTGGGGATGGAGCTGTGGGTGTTGTTTTCAGTAGGATTGGGCAAAACTATTGGTTTTCCTCTGGCCAAAAAGAACTTCATGCAAGAATTTGAGTTCAGAGACATGGAGAGTAATTGGGAGGGACATGAACAGGATGGCCTGTGAGAGAATGGAAATGAAGGCACTTGTCACTAATGATAGAACAGAGCACATGTCATTGAAAGTACAGTAACTGGAAAGAAAGGGGCAAATTTGGCATATCCCTGGTAATGCAAGGGTTAAAGACAGCACTGCAGCATGAGTTCAGTTCCCAACCAGCCAGGGACTTGACCCACATGATGCAGCAGATCTCTGTCTGTCTCACCTGCTGCTCTCCTCAGCAGTGTATTTCAGTAGATCCACCTGTTCTGCTCTGTACTCTGTCTCCGGTGAATCCTCTCAGTCCCCTGCCCCTTCTGGGCTACGCCCCAGTTATCAGACGCATAAATAAATAAATTTTAAGAAAACATTGGGGGCGAGCAGATATGGAAATCATGAGTTAACCAGGGCTTTGGACATATTCCTTACGCAGGCTGGACCCACACTGTATGTGCCTGTTTTAAGCACCTTTAGTAGCTGGAGAGGAAGTGAACTTAGGAAAGTAAATGAGAGTTCCAGGATCCCATGAGTTTTCTGGAGGACAGAAGATCAGAGAGCACACAGTCACTCATGGATGCATTTATTGTCCTTAGCTCTTCCTTCCTCAAAAGTTCCTGCACTTTCCAAGGACAGCTTGGGAGATGAGATGTTGGCAGCTGCACTCATAAAGGCCAAGCCCCAGGTGAGTTGTGGTTCCTTTTTCCCCTTTCTATCTCAGTTTGTACAACTTTTTATATAGTAACATCCCGTTCAGATCCTAACCCACAGTTCCTTCCATCAGAATCTTGGCCCTTTCCTACTAAATAATCAGCTTTACCATCTGTCTCATTTCTCTTCTCTACCTAAACCTCCTTTTCCCCAAATACGCATTTTTCAACCCCATCCATATAGTTTTTTTGCCACTGCCAGTCCTGCTTCTCACCCTGAAAAATCACATATGAGAACATATTGTTTCAGGAGTTGGTGACATTTGAGGATGTCGCTGTGTACTTCATCCGGAAGGAGTGGAAGCGTTTGGAGCCTGCTCAGAGGGACCTCTATAGGGATGTGATGCTGGAGAATTACAGGAATGTGTTCTCACTGGGTAAGCAGTTATGCTCGCTCAGTATATAACTGTTAGCTTTTCTATGCTTCCGTGTTTGCTATTAACAGTTGAGTCACTGAAAATAGTAAGTATTGACTGAGTCTCAAAGCTCTAGCAATGATACTAATAGCAATGGTAGTTTGCAGCTGATAAAGAACTTTTGCACTTATTTTCTCACTTGATCCCCAAGCAACACAGCAAGGGAGGTAGCCAGTATTATCCTCATTTTGTAGGTGAGGAAAGAAAGACCAGATATTTTATGTGCTTTTATAAGAAGTCATGTAGCTAATGAATAGCAAAACTCTAACCTTGTGGTCTTATAAGTTGAAATTCTATACTTTTTCCATGTTAATTTTAGAATTTAGTAATCCAGGGATTTATCCAAAAGATTAACTTATTGGTATTTATGTCCCTGTAAGGTACTATCTGCCCGAGTGAGCATTATGGAACTCTTTATCTCCCCCCATCTCCAGAAACTAGTTGCTTTGTTCAGGACCTGGTGCAGCTGCTTCTCTAGCAGAAATCTCAACTTGTTTTGGCAGTTCACATTTTAACATTTGTTTTATGGGTTATTTCAGTCAGAACATTTTCTTTTAAGAATTTATTTACTTTTTGGTGTAGAAGAACTGGGGTTTAGGTCAGAGGTGGAAAGGGTGGTGAGAAGATTCACTAGAGACAGAGTGGGGAGTAGAGCAGGCAGATTGACTGAAATACACTGAGGGGAGCAGCAGGTGAGACAGGAGAGGTCTGCTGTGCCGTGTGGGTCACTTCCCTGGCTGGGGATCGAACTCAGGATATAGCAGTGAAAGCACTGAGACTTAACCCTCAGGCCACTAGGGATGCTTTCAGTGAGAACATTTTCCTGAGCTGTTCCAAGGAGCCTTTCTAACTCCTTTTGAGGCTTCCCTGTGCACTTCTTTTGTTCCCTGCAGATCTTGGGTCTGGAATTGAGGGTTGGACTGCTCAGTATAAGCTGGATACACCTCCCTGTTCTGTCTCTTTCCCCATGAGTAGGGTTCTAATTTTGAATTTTGACATGATCTCTCAATTAGAGTGATCAAGTAAAAGGAAGCGCCGAGGGCCCTGGGTTTGATGGGAGATCAGAACTGACAGGTACCTGTTTAGGTGAGGGGAAAAATGGCTCTCTCTATTCCTAACTCTCATTGGTCTGTCTTTTACCTTTAACATTGGCAAACTAAAAACACTAACTCTCTAAGCAATTTACAGTTATCTTCTCTGCCTGGAGTTCCCTCTAGAAACCCAAAAATTAAAAGTTGAAGAAAAAAAAAATACCAAAGCCATGGAAACAGAAAGGTCAAACATGAAGCTAATACACATGCTCACATCTCAGCATGGACCTGGGGCCCAGAGATGAGCAACTGTCTCATACTACGCCCAACCCAATGACCGACTGCAAATGTGATTGCTCCTTTCACCTGGGGTCTAGGGCTCGCTGTGGCTTCACGTGATTACTTCCTCCTGCTCTGATACCTTCTCTGCTCTTCTCAACACCCATCTAAGTTTAGTGTATTGTATTTGCTTGGTTATTATTTTTCAGCTATTCTGGCAGTCATCATCTCCTCAGCTACAGCTATAGTCTCTGGCCTCTCTGAGGACTTCGCTGCTTCATCAAAAGTTTACTCTTCTACTTCTGGTTCCCTGCCTCTCCTGATCCATCCTCCTCTCCTTACATACCCAGCTTTCTCTGTACCCTTGTTCTTTTCACCTGGCATTTGCTCCCTTTCTCCCTTCCTGTTTCTTCTGCCCTGTTCTCTCACTCTGCCTTAGCTGCACAGGAGCCTGTGCAGGCCTCTTTGCATGCAGCTAAGAGGCATGTGGTTCTGCCCATTAAACATTAATAACAATTTTCATGTATTCTGGTTTTGATTTTTTCTTCCACAAGGAGCAAGTGATGTTTATATTTTGTATTGTGCTAGATGGTGAGACCAGAACTGAGCATGATCAAGACATTTCAGAAGATGCAGGATCACAGGGGGTGCTACTGAGAAGATTCCAAAAGGATATTTCTAAGGGTCTTAAATTTGAAGAAGCTTATGAAGAAGAAGTCAGTCTAAAGAGGCAGCTGGGGAACTCCTCTGGGGAAAGACTGAATAGGAAGATACCAGGTTATGGTCCAGTGACAGTTGAGAAAAAACTCACATCCACAGGAGAGAGAAGTGAGAAATATGAATTTGGGAACAACTTCACTGTGAGTCCTAACCTTATTTCACATCAGAGACTTCCTGTGGGAGATAGACCCCACAAATGTGATGAATGTAGCAAGAGCTTTAATCGAACTTCAGACCTTATTCAACATCAGAGAATCCACACTGGGGAAAAACCCTATGAATGTAGTGAATGTGGGAAGGCCTTCAGCCAGAGCTCACATCTCATCCAGCATCAGAGAATCCACACTGGAGAGAAGCCCTATGAATGTAACGACTGTGGGAAGACCTTCAGTTGCAGCTCTGCTCTCATTCTGCATCGAAGAATCCACACTGGGGAGAAACCTTACGAATGTAGTGAGTGTGGAAAAACTTTTAGCTGGAGTTCTACCCTTACTCACCATCAGAGAATCCACACTGGAGAGAAACCATATGCTTGTAATGAATGTGGGAAGGCCTTTAGTCGGAGCTCCACTCTTATTCATCACCAGAGAATCCACACTGGAGAGAAACCCTATGAATGTAATGAGTGTGGGAAGGCCTTCAGCCAGAGCTCACACCTCTATCAGCATCAGAGAATCCACACTGGAGAGAAACCTTATGAATGTATGGAATGTGGAGGGAAGTTTACCTATAGTTCAGGCCTTATTCAGCATCAAAGAATCCACACAGGGGAGAATCCCTATGAATGTAGTGAGTGTGGGAAAGCCTTTAGGTACAGCTCAGCTCTTGTTCGCCATCAGAGAATTCACACTGGAGAGAAGCCTTTGAATGTAATGGGCATGAGCAAGAGTTCTCTCAGGGTCTCTGCTGAATTAAATATCAGAGAGTCTACATGAAAGAGCCACATACGTATTTTCCTCATTCCTCTGAGTCTAAAGAGCTCCTGCCTTACTATACAAGGATGAACAACTTAGGATGTATCCTTCCAGCTCAAACCCTTCACTTTAGAGATGGGGCATACTAGGCAAATCAGGCTGGTACACTGATTAGCAACCTAGTCAGTTTTCCCAGGAATGGTACCAGCTTGAGAAATTGAGAGGCAAGCTGCATATCAAGTGCTAGGAAGAGGGAAGCTCTGGGACCAACCATTTCCCATTTTGGAAGGGAGTTTGCACTAGACTAGCGGAGCCTTTGCATGGTGGGGTTGGAAGCACAGTAAGAATAAAATTCCAAGGACCCCTACAGCTGAAGTCAGTAGTGTCAACACAGAAGACAGTGGAAAGAATATTCTGGGACCTGTTACTTGCTATGGAGGGGGGACTGGAGGCTATATTTCAAATGGAGTCTGTTCCTGATCTAGTTTTTAAGTTTTGATAAGGGATATGTACTTTGTTTCCTGATTTTATTGACTATAAAGACAGTGCTAAGGATTTATTTTATCACAGTCAAGGCTAGACCTCAGGGGAGGTTGTTTGTGATGATTTTGTTGTTTAGGGCTCTTGGAGCAGCGAGACTGCATTTCTAAGAGCAGTTTGGCAGTTCTGTTGGACCTCTCTTCCTCTGTTGTGCTAGGGCTAATTGGGAAATCCATCGAATCCATGAGTGTAACGTTAGGAAGGGGATCAGAAACATTCAGCATTGGGCAGCCTCTTACCCTGTCACTCCTGTGAAGAAAAGCAACTTAATGCAAACCCCTTGTTAAACTCCCCCTAAGGAACTCACTCAGCCAGCTTGATTTGCCCTCTCACCTATGACTTAATGACACCAGGCCCTGGCAAACAGACCTCTCCTAACCTTGCCTCTGACTCCTCAATGGTCAAGTATGAATGCAAAGAGTAAATCCCAGAAAAGGACAGCCGTGACCTGAAGCTGGTATCCGGGCTCCTTGCTCAGTTAGGCTGGAGCTCCCCAATTTTCTCAGCTGAAAGGATGAACTTTCATTATGTTTTCCCAATCCTGCTCATCCTGTAGCATAAACGAAGTGCACTATTATTAAACAAAATAGTTTTTCAGAAGGAGAGATTTGAGTGTGTTTTGTGCAGGGGCCAAATTTATTTCAATTTAAACAGGAAACTGGTTGCAAATGGAATCTTTACAGACAAGAATTTTTCGTATTCAAACGTGTGATTTCTCGACCTCAGAACTCCATCATATTCCTCTAATACTGCCACAGACTTCTCAGTCATCTTCAGTCTCCCACTTCCATACCCAGGATTTTATGTGCTGCCTGTAATACTGCACAGAATGATACCTAAGGCCAGCAGCCAAAACTAGAATCTGTAGGGTTTGAGGGTCCTTGACAAGTATGTACTTGGATAGCAATGTTTTTTTTGTTTGTTTTTTACTGTTCCTGGAGAATGTTATGGTCATAAAAGGTAGGCTGAAAGTCTAATCAGAGGATGAACTATCTAGAACTCTGATCTCTGAAAATTTTTGGATCATATATTGTAACTGTCCATCTAGTAGTTTTCAATTTCTTAGAGTGGAACATCAAAAATTTGCTCTTTGATATTACTACATATTTTCAAGTTGATGTAGTTTCTCAAAGTGTAGACCATGAACTATCCATATTAGCATCACTAGCCCAGTTAGTAGTAGTGCTGCTTTCTGAGACCCAGAGCAAAGCTATAAAATGATTTCGGAGGATAGAGCTGAACAATTTATCTAAGAAAGAAATGGTGAAGGAAGTGACTAGAGAAAATTTCCTGAGATCATTCTGAACTTACCTTGGGAGGCATGTGATCTGTGGTAAAGGAGAATAAATTCCAGATGGGACACTTTGGGGTAGAGGTGAGCACAGCCATGTATGTGAAGGTTCATGTATAGCTCTGGAAAAAACCTTTGAACAGGTAAAATTACTAGGGGACAAAGTCACTATACATGAAGGATCAGCCCTTTTTGCCTCTGACCTTGTGTCTTTGTGTTAGTTACTGGAATCACCAGCTTCCCGGCCAGCCACGCCAAACTCACAGATTACAGGTCTTGTGTGTCTACTTTTATATAGCATGTCAGCACGTCTAGCCCACCCTACCTTTTCTATTCCTGTGACTCCTGCCCTGGCCTAGACAGTAGCTCTTCATCAAATTTGGATACCTTCATGTAACAGTTTCTGATCCTTCATAAAATGCTAGAAATACATGCATGGTTTCATGAAGGTAATGCTAGAAGAACTGAACTTAGAGATTTATTGGCACTTCCTCCTGGAAGTCTAAAAGACTGGCACAACCTTCAAGGCCTGGCTACTGGTGACAAGTATGCACATATACCCACAGACTTCACCTGTTTACACAGCCACACATGGTCACATGAGAACACAGCCATTGATTTTTCTGTGGAGCAGGGCACAGCTCTGTGGTGGGGGCCAAAGATACATGAAGTGATTCCTGTCTTAGTTCAGTCTGGTGGCTGCTCATTGGCACTCTGCCAGCTTCTCGCAGATGCTTAGTCCCTAAAATGGCTAGTAATCCTAGATGACTGGGAACATGGTATCACTATACAAGGAAGGAGGCTAGAGCACCACAGATCAAGGGAACAGTAGAAGCAAAGCCAGGATGCCACAAAGTCAGTGGGGCTGGGTAAGAAGGAATCATTAAGATGTGTTATTTAGCCAGAGCCATGAAGTACTGCTGCTACCCCTGCTTTCCCTTTCTGCTGGTGTCATCCTAGTATAGATGACTGGATGAAAAGGTCCCATGAAAAGAATGCTCAACTCAACTAGTAGGAAGAGACTAATATACAATCAGAATCATGAGTACTAAGCGAAGAAAAAACAATGCTTTCAAAGCTGTTTGCATCTGCTGACTTGTACCCTGAATTCCACCATTTACTTTGTAAATGTTATCTGGAAAGGTTTGGCAAAAAATCGGTGGTAGGCATTTATTTCAAGCATACAGACAATAACATTACACAATATTTTGGGGAAAAAAAAAGGACACATCACTAAAATTGTACATTTTAAATGAATGGGGAAGGCTTTTCTAAGCACAAGACACTTTTCTAAGCACAAGAAATTGGTAGTGTAAATTGACTCAATATTTTGGAAGGCAATCCAGCAACACAAATGTGTACACTATTTTTAAAAATTCCAGGAATTTGTCATACAGAAATGCTTTCTCTAAGCCTGCAAAAAACCATGTACAAATTGGTGTTTTTAATCATAGAACCGGAAAATGCCAAATATTAACCATAAGATACATAAATAAATCCTGTGATCATTAGAGTGTTTGGTTCTTATGTATTTGTTGACATGGAAAAAGGTTCAAGGTAGCTGTATTTTGAAAATGCGGAGTCCAGAACAGCATAATAGTCAATCCCATTATCCCAGTACAGAGCACAATCATACCATACACACATCTATATAATAAAGATTATACTAAAAAAATTCTAAGTGTCTCTCAGCAGCAAATATTAAGTATAAAATTAGGCGGGGTGTTTACTTTGTAATGCTCCTTCCTTGTTGCTACTTTAAAATCAGCATGCATTAAATTAGAAAGTTACGGATTTAAATAGCCAGACTAACACTGTTTTAAGAGCTATTTTTATAACCATGAGCATCTGACAGGCAGAAGTTCTTGAAAGGCTTGAAACGCGTCCCGGCTGGGCCAGACTTGGCTTTAGGAATTTGTCACAGGTTGGGTTTTGCTATTTTAGATTACTTAGAATTATGATTTATGTGACTTGACTCACCACTGGGCTCGACATCAATATTTAAAAATGCAGATCCTAACTCTCAGCTCAGTTTGGGTGAAGGAATGGGGCCTTAACCAGCAGAAACTCATCTATAAAACCCCCGGTTCGCCTAAGCGGCGCAGAGCCGGGGCACAAAGGCACCCGCAGCAGCCACATGGGTGGGCGGGGCTCGCTGGCACTGAAAGCCCACAGCCCTGGACCCCGCCCTGTCAGCCCCCCCCCCACAGGTTCTTCCCGAGCCCCACAAGGCAGCACCCACTTCTCTACATGCCCTGGGGCACCCAGGGTGCAAGACAAACTGACAAACTGTCTGTGGGTGTGGCGGCCGGACACCAGCACAGGCAAGGGCTCCGCGATCTTTTCCGGCAAGATCCCAGCCAAGGGACACCCTCTTCCCCGCCCCAGTGGCTGCTTTCGGTCCCTCTGGGGCTTTGGAGGTTTAGTCAACTCGATGGTTCTCAAGCTACTTTAGAAGGGAGGGGCTGTGTGAACAGTGGGGACGGTGGCGAGGAGGGGGAAGAGCTGGAAAGCTCACACCACCCCTGGGCTTTGAGCCAACTTCCTCAGGCGATTTAGAGCAGGAGCAGAGTGGGAGGAAGCATGCCTACTGGACTGATTCCCTTGTTATATACCATGGGATAAAAATCTCTGCCTAGACTGTATTATCTGGCATTTAGTTCTACCAACTAATACTGAAATTTCATGAGAAATTTCAAATAAATGAAATCTACCGATCAGGAATGTCCATGTTTTTGTAAAGCACTGCATGGGCTCAGATTAGCCCCAAACTGTTGAGGATATTTTACTGTGCAAATAGTGTTCAACTCTGCTCCCTCCAGTTACCTCCCTGCATAAGCTATCTGGCCCCAAAAGCTTGTCCTAGCCTGTTTTTAGGGGGAAATTCAAAATTACGGCAGTTGGTATGAAAGTGGCCTTGGAATTGAGCTTTCAGTATGGGATTCCAGAAAAGGCCATTCTCTGTTCAGATGGTAAGAAAAAGGAGCCTGGTATTAATAAGTGCAGTAATGGCGACACAACATGATATAGCATGACAATTACTATCAGTCTCACTAGTTTGGGCAAGAAATGAAGTACAAATAGAAGAGGAAGCATTGATTAGCTTATTGCAATAGTTCTATAACTTGAACATTATTGGGACAGTGACAATACAGCTTCTGGAGGCTGATGAAAAGCAGGGAATCAGATTCTAAGAACTCCACAAGGGAACAAACTAGGCTACCACCTTGGTTTTAGATCAGTGAGACCATGTTGGATGTTGAACCTACAAAGCTCTGTTGTTTTCTAAAAAGCATCTCTGTGTTATTACAATCATAGAAAACGCATACAATCCTGTGGCTTTACTAAAAAGTGGCCCTACAGACAGACCAGTGTGAGAAGGAATCGCCAGACCAGTGTGAGGGGAAATCCGGCGAGCAGAGTGGAAGCCGTCTAGATGGCACCAGTTATGTGTGGAGAAGTGGCCTAAGCATTTCACAACCTCCTGGGCTATGGGGGCTATGGCAAACAGCTTGCCTAGACAAATGGCCTGCAAACAAGGCCAAAAGTCTGGAAACAGATCTGAGGATGACTTTAGTTGACAGCGTGACCTATGGGAGCTAAAGAAGTAGAAATCTTTGTTTTTTTATTTTTATTTTTTGGCGTAGAAGAACTGGGATGTAGGCCAGAGGTATGAGTAGTGAGAGGATTCACCAGAATGGACAGCAGTGAACAGGTGATTTACTGAAGTATATTGCTGAGGGGAGCAGTGGGTGAACACATCTGCTGTGTCATGGGGGTTGGCTCCCTGGCCAGGGATGCAACTCAGGCCATAGGGGTGATCAAACTAAGACTTAACCTCTAGGCCACCAGGGAGGCCCTAGATCTTTGTGTCTTATAACAACATCCACTAGTGATGCCCACTGGCTAGGTGTCAGGAAGATAGGCAGTCCAGTCATGGGCCCATCTACCTGTCACCAAAGTAGGAGATACAGGCCTTGGGCTGAGCCGGGCTTATCTGGAGCAGCTCTAGCAGGAACTCTACACAAAGATAATCAGCTAAATTCTGAGGGGCCATTCACCATGGTAATATCTAAATAGGATAGCTCACATGAAATGTCAGAGGTGCTGGCAGAATATTCAGATCACTGGGAAGATACTTGAGTAAGAACAGTTCAGATTTCAAGAACAATCAATTGTTGTCCAGTAATGAGATCCTCACTAATCTATCTGGCTGGTGCATAAAGACTTACTAAATAGTTTAATCTGATTCTCAGATCACATACAGGGCGTCAGAGATCAGAACCAGAATATGATTATCTTGTTGTTCCTAATTCTGACAGGTCAGGTCTGCCTGTCAACTATGGCTGTGGCAATAGACAAAAGGCTACTTCTGTGACTACTAATCAGAGGTGGGGGAAAATGGTCATAGTATGAAGAAAAGCAGTGAAAGGAGGATGGAGCAAAAGCTGAGTTTCCAGGAAACAGGAGGAACTACTGACCAAGAGACATTATCAGATAGTGAAGGAGCTAAAGAAGTAAAAAACTGCAGTTGGAGGAAAAAGACACTATGGACTTTCGGGGTTTAGAAGAAGGAAGCATCTAGTCAGATTTTCAGAGTTTGGCAGAGTGAGAATATACATAACCAAAATCAACTGCCGCTGACCAAATGTTCCCTGTGGTGGAAAAACTGTGTTCAGTATGTAGGGAATATAAGCACAATGTAGACCTAGATGCAGCTACTCTACACATTTCAGCTCAATTTCCTAATACATATGTTCACAAGTACTAAAAGTTTTATCTACCTGAAAACCACACTTTCCAAAAGTTTAACCAGTTAGAATAGTTTTTTTTTCTCTAGAATAGTGTTCAATAACCAATATACTACTTATAATAACAATCCTGAGGCATTCTAAGATGTGAGTTTATTCTGAGGCAGATTAAATTTTGTCCAAAATGGCTCAATTCTTTACAAATCATAATTCTTGAATATATGTTAAAACAGTTAAACAGTTTTAATGTTTCTTCCTTAATTATACTGGATACACTATACAAAAGGCAGTGCCGGCATGATTTACAGGACTGGAAGTGTGGTGAGGGGAACCTGCCCCAGCTAGGAGAGTGAGGAATCCACAGACCCGTCAGGAACTCTAGCACCTCCCTCCTACTGTGCTGCCATCACCTGAGCTCTCATTCCGCAGACACCCCTTGATGTTGAGACAAAATCTACCACCAGGGTTTGTATCACAATCCTGGGCTTCTCCCTATCATTCATGTTCTAAAGTTGGAAACACCAAAAACAGAATGCATACATCAGTTAAAGAGCCTCTCCCTCTCCAGTGTGGACTCTCTGATGCTTGGAAAGATTTGACTTACTACAGAAGGTTTTCCCACAATTATTACACCAATAGGGTTTCTCACCAGTATGAATTCTATGATGTTTATTAAAATTGGAGCTGTGGTTGAAGGCTTTCCCACACTCCTTACATTTATATGGTTTTTCCCCAGTGTGGAGTCTCTGATGAGAACTAAGACCTGCATGCTGACTGAAGCTCTTCCCACATTCATTGCACTGATAAGGCTTCTCCCCAGTGTGTATTCGATAGTGTCGAATGAGACTGCCTTTACCACTGAAAGCTTTACCACAATCTTTACACTGATATGGTGCCTCTTCAGTGTGCATTCGCTGATGTTTAAGAAGGTCTGAGCTCTGACCAAAGGCTTTTCCACACTTACAGTCATAGGGACGGTCCACCAAATGTGTTCTGTAGTGAAGGGTAAGGTTTGAGCTATGGCTGAAAGCTTTTCCACATTTGGTGCACACGTAGGGTTTCTCCCCAGTGTGTGTTCTCCGGTGTTTAGTAAGATTTGAACTATTACTAAAGGCTTTTCCACACTCAGCACAGATATAACGTCTCTCTCCTGGGTTTGGTTTAGTAGAAATTAATTCTCTACCTTTCTTGGAACCTGTGTCTTGTAGAGGTGTTTTTGTTCCTCTTTCCTTTTCAAGGTTTACCCACTGCCTTTCTAATCTGGCCTCACACTTACTGGCAAGACTCAAGGGAACAAAATCCCTTTGGAATCCTTCTGCATGAGATTCTCCAGAACTTTCCTGCTTATCTGCTGACTCCTCATTCTGGGTGTTCGATTTACAATCTGAAACAGTAAGTAGAATAAGGTCATGTCAGTTATTTCCTGCTGAGACTTAAAGAGGCAATACAATCATCAGGTCACATTGATGGTTTAGAAGGATGCCCATTACTGCGCATGACAGGTCACAACAACACACTGATACAGGTAACTCAACTCACCTTATCATACCACTTTCACACAAGGCCCTATCAGAAGCTGCTTTGGTAAGATAAATATGTGGCTCTTCTGCCGGGAGAAGAACCTCAGATACAAGGCTATTAGCTAAAACCAAAAATACTGGGGCAATAGCAAAGGAGATGGGAGATGTTTGAGCAGAAAGAAATAAGCAAGAAAGATTACTGAAGGGTTAAAGTTGATTAAGGAATAAAAAGGTAATTAAGGGAAAAAAGGCTTGTGGTAAACTCACAAAAACTAAACATAAAAGCAATAAAGGAAGTTATTCAGTCTATTTATGCTAGTCACAGATCCTTAATTCATGTGAATGAATGCACTTAACTCCAATGAGGGTCTAACTCTTTATCTTTTTTTTTTTTTTTAAGTTTATTTATTTATGCTTACAGAACTGGGGTAGAGGCCAGAGGTGTGAGAAGATTTACCAGAGTCAAAGTGAGGAGCAAACCAGGCAGACTGACAAAGTAACTGCTGAGGGGAGCAGCAGGCATGTCAGGAGAGGTCTGCTGAGCCACGTGGGGTGACCTCTTGAGGTGACTTCCAAGGCTGGATCACTTGCACCTAAGCCTGTTGCACAACCAGGGAGGGCCCTAACTCTTGATCTTTTAACATACATAATGATGTCTTATAACCCTTGTTATAAAGAAACATTATTGTTGGAACTCAGACTGAAGCAATGTATCTTTTTTTTAGAACATTTCACCAGACAGTTACTCTTCTTAAAAGTCATCTAAGCATCCACATACACAGATAAAGGGAGTAAAAAATTCACTCTGGAAAAGGAACCCGCTGAGAACTTCACCCTCCATGAGTACAGGAGCCTCATCAACATGGCACTTTCCTCCATGCCCCATTTCCTTGTCCTGTCTCTCTCCATTCTCTGTTCATTTCCTTTCTTTGTCAGGAATAATGCTTGGATGCTTCCAGGCTCACTCCCTACTTGCTGGAGACTGGTGACTACAGACACAGTAGCAAAAATCCCTTTCATTCTCCATGATGAGCAATCACTTGGCTACACGTAGACTTCCCTTCAAGTTGTCATAAGCAGTATGTGGGAAATAGATAACTTGATAAAAGTTAGGTTTAGGGCCAACCTGGTGGTGCAGGGGTTGAAGTCTTGGCTGTCAGGCTACCCCAGACACTGTGGCATCCCAGTTGGGAAGCTGACCCACATGGTGCAGCAGACCTCTCCTGTTTTGTTGGCTGCTCTTCCCTTGGCAATGTATTTCAGTAGATTTGCTTCCCCACTCTGTCTCTGGTGAATCCCCTCAACCCCCATGCCTCTGGCTTATACGCCAGTTCTTGTATGCATAAAAAACCACAAATCCTTAAAAAAAAATTTAAAAACTAACATTACCTCAATAAAATATAAAAAAATCAATTAAACTAGATTAAATAAAAGGTTTAAAATAATTTAATGAGAAGTTGAAAAATAATTCACCAAGGACAACCTATATAATTCAAGGCTAACCCTAACAGATTCAGTAAATCATTAACATGAACAAGCACCATCTCTTTCTGGTTCATTCAAGCTGTCCACATCTCCATAAACAGCCCCTTTATTAAATTTCCTTTAAGGGACCCTTTAAGATTCTTACTGAAACACACCTAGAGAGGAGAGGGGACTCTGCTTGAAAGGCCTGGTACACTGATCAGAGGTCTGAGAGATGGTCCTTACCTTGAATCTTTCTCAGCTCTGCAGTGAAATCCTGCTCTTCGCCAGTCTCTTGGATGTACAGGGGTCCCCAAGAGTCATATTTGTTTGTGGTATCTATAGAATCGGTATGCATGCTACTTGGGGAGTCTTTCGTTGTTCCTGAAGATGGCATCTCCTCCCACACTGGCTTCTGTTTGTTTGGAGGTGAGACCTGGAAACAATTAGGAAGAGTCTGGTTTAAGCACAGTCCATTTAAGGACTAAATGAAAGAAAATCTCAGAATTATATATTATATCCAGGAAATTATATCCAGGAAAAAGAAAAGAAAAAAACATCCATCCCACTTCACTCCAAAGGCTAAGGGTTAGTATAGATTAGAAGAAAAACAGGAGGAAGCTTGGTCTCATTCAGTAGAAACTTCTATCCAGCTGTTCTTATTGTATGGGCAAACCCACTGCTGCCTGGACTATGTTCTTCCCACTCTCACAGACTAAAGCCTCCCAGCATACCTGCTGTCCTGGCTCATCCAGTTCTTGCTCCAGATCTTCAAGGAGGGTGACGGCCTCTTCAGCACTCTCTGGGCTGTGATCCTGCACCCAGGCCTTCAACTCCTGGGGCAGGATGCTGAGGAACTGCTCCAGCACCAGCAGCTCCAGGATCTGCTCCTTGGTGTGGATCTCAGGCCTCAGCCACTCACAGCAGAGCACTCGGAGCTGGCTCAGGGCCTCCCGTGGCCCAGGGGTGTCATTGTACCCAAATTGCCTGAAGCGCTGGCGGAACATCTCCAGGCTAGGATGGCATTTCCCTTTCTCCTCG